CTTCCCCACTGAAACCACTTCAACCCTTTGACCTGCAGGGCTGCGTCGGGGAGCGCGACACCAGCGAGAGAGGAGAGCTGTTGGTGTAATGACTCAGAGTGAATCATGTTCAGTTTCTCCACAGGAAGTCACAGCCATGGCTCATATCCGGGGTTCACTTGTGCCGCTGTTTGCCTGATCTCTGGGGCTCTGGTGTCAGGTGACCCAAGACGTCCAGGGTTACAGCCTCATACTCGTATGATTGAAACTATTAGGCCTCGGGCGCATCAGAAAGCTCTCCATTTTCATTTCAATTACTGTTGCCGATGATAAAACTCAGATCGGGCCATGACATTGGCTCTGCTGCTAATCACGAGAAAGAGATGTTTCCAATTAATATGCTGGCTGGCTTTACTACTAGACAGAGTCTGCATCAAAGCAATTATTACTCTTAATTTGATAATGAAAGTATATATAACAAAGTTGTTGTTAGGTCAGTTAATTACTTGTATTGATCTCAACTAGCAGTAGTCTCCCTAATGCCTTTTTTATTAAGTATGAATATATTTGTATCATCAACCAATCTCTATACATCGATGCATATGAATTCAAAATGTAATACTGTCTGCTTCTTTTCTTAAAACTTTAATATCACACAGGTCGTAACACAGACTTTTTTGTTTTGAATATTGAGTGTACAGGTATGCATTTCATTATTCAAATCTGTGCTCTCTACTCACATACAGTACTGCATTTTGCACACATGAATAAACATTACCAGTTGATCCAGTCTATACGCAACTAACCCCCTGCCACCCACACTCATTTCAAATGAGCTGTGAGCTGGGATATTCTATTATTTATTCTATAACGATGAATTATAGGAAAGCATTGTAGCAGTATATGAATAGGCGGGGGCTGACAAATCTTTCAAAACAATCAGAAACAACAAAATACTTGATTGCAGACGGATCCCTTTTCGGTTGTTTTTTTGCCATCATTTTCCTCACAATCAAATCAAGAAATCTCACGCTGTGTTTCGTTTACAACATGCATCCAGTGCTAAGTCATCTACAAACATGGGGAATTATTAGTAAGTTCAGTAAGCGGAGAGCGTTTGCCTTCATTAAAAATGTGCTGTGTCACCAAAAGACTGAAGTAAAGTCAAACTGAGAATAAAAAAAAACGTATTTGCAGCATTTCTGCATTAACATGAAGTATATGATACACACATTTGCATGAAAGTCACAGTAAGAAAAATAGATTTATGCTGATTATACAGTTTATGCTCATGAATTATTGTTTTTGTAGCTAATGAGTGAATTTAAAAAACACTTCTGCAAAATCTGCAACCATGTTAGATCCCCAACACTATAACACATTTCAGGAATAGACTAATGTGCTGTCCGACCTCTTTCTGCTCTAATAGAAATGAGTTCCCAATGAAATAAATCATCCGCTTGTTTTGTTAGTTATTATTTCTCTCCTCTGCCTGGTATTAAATTATATAAATACACATTTGATCTTTAGCACACAGAGCTGTATAATTCAGATAGGAGTGTTGTGGTGTAACTGCATTATGTAAAAGCCCAACATTGAGAAGAGATGAATTTTAGTTGCGCTACACGATTGGTTTCATGGATAGAGGAACCTCAACGTCTGTTTGTGGCAGCTACAGTTTATTTTGGGTTCTCAAGAATCTGCTCCACTGATGAACAGATTGCCTCTGGCTTGGTTTTTAAGCCTTTGCAGGGTTGAACAGTATGAATGGTGTTCATGGGACACTTTCCCTAATTTCTGAATAATCTTAAGATTTGTTGTAGCTTTGAATGGGCAGAATCAAAGACAGGTCATCATTAAGCTGTGTAGTGGTACGGTGAAAATGACCACTATTAATATGTCATTATAAACCAGTTTGCTTGTGAATTATTTTCCACATATTTTTAAATGTCACAGGAGAAAAAAACTTTTTTATAAAACAATTACACAAGCAGCCGTTACCCCGGTAACCCGGTGTTTGGGACGGAGACACCGAGTGAAAAACTGTCAGGAACGGACGGTTTTGAGGCAGTTATGAGTGGAGCGAGAAGTTTGGACACGCCTGTTGATGTGCAGAATAATTAATCAAAATTACACGTTTGATGTGTGCACAACCACTGGGGGTTCTGTGGTTACTTTCACCCAGTCTGTCGCTCGTTGCACAATATTTAATGCATCTGCTGAGCCTAATTGTGGCCTGACAGTGCTGCAGGAATGAGTCCTGAAAACCCTGAAATAAATTAGCAGATTTGCACTTCCCTAGTCTTAAAGTCAATGGATTTAGACGCCTAATAATGTCTGTGGTTAACACAGGCTGTACCGTTTTGTTCAACATACTTTTTGAATAATTTAAATAATGCATTTGTTTCAGATATTGTCCAGTTTTGCTAGAGCTGACAATGAGGTTCCTTTTTTGCATTATGTTGATAACATTTTTCCCACTCCCAGCATTACATTGCTCACAAGTTGCTTATTAATGAGATACCTTGTGGGCATGTGTTTATCATAAATATCTCAAAAAGAAAATAGAAAGTAACAGAACCAAATGTGTAACTGTAGAATCTAGTTGGCACTTGTTTTTTTACAGATTTAAATTTCTTGTACAGATTTTATATTATCAATTGGTATTAGCTCTAAACACAAACACTTGTTCTTAGTTAATCTGCAGTCATCGATTGTAATTCATTCTAGCAGTGTTCAATTCCTCTTTTATAATCCACCACCTGCCATGCCTGCAATGCACAAATAAAGCAGGAGTAACTCAGCTTGGTTTAATTGAGCTGAGATTCACACGCCTGACATGCACTTTTGCTTGTCAGCCAATGACACTGAAGTAACTCTATAAAGATACTTGTTGGGGAGTGATGGGGTTTGCTACTTTTGTATTGATTGTTATTGTGTCTGACATTATCCCACAAAGCTCAATCCCACAAAGCCACAACTGGCCTTACTCCAGCAGAAAATATGCTGCTACCAGACTTCCTACATGCCTCATTTGGAAGGTGCATCATACCGAGGTGGTGATCAGAAACACCTTGGGCTCCTATTCAAAAGGAATAAGGAAGAGCGCATGCCTTTTTTATACAATGAAGAGGTTGTCAGAGGTTACAGCTAGAATATAACGATCCTTAGCTCCTACGTACCAAGAGACACACTAATCTGTTTTTGTGCATGAAGAAATAAAATCAGAGTCCAAAATATATTTGAGTCATCTCAAGGAAAAAGAAGTTACTATGTACATCATGCTGTCTGTTTTTATCTAGTAGGAAGGGAAAATAGCCCATGACTCTGGACTTTGAATCTGAAGAGGAGAGTATTTTAACTTTCCATACATATAATAAACAACAACAATCTAGATGTGGGCAGCTTCTTCACTAGTAAACACCAAGCCTTATAAATATTTCATCTTTTCCTTTCTCTGCTGTAACACCTGTTCTAGCGAGCACTTCGTGGTACAGTAACGCCTCCGTGTGCTTTTCATTTTTCAAAAGAGATCCCCCTTAATACCAGGCGATGTTGTCAAGAAAGCAATTTCATTTCATGTTCAGCATCTCATGTTGGCCTGTTATATTACTGAAATTGTGTTATGATTCCTATATCATAGGAATGAACAACCTAAGTTTAGGTGCAGTGCTGCAATCCTGAATAGTCAAGGAGAGGTTGCCATGGAAACAGAGTTACATTGGCCAGAAATGAAAGCGTCTGAGGATTTAGACTTTCACTGTACATACATTTTTAACCACAGATTGTTTCGACATGAGCCTCCGAGCAGAAATGTCTGTAAAGTAAAACTGTAAGTATAACAATCCCACAACATGAAACCCCACCAGTGTGAGATTTCGACTCTTACATATGATACAGTGACTCATCTGTGACAGTCACTGTAATAATATTAATACCTGCCACCAATATAATGATAACTCTGAATATGCTTACATATAAAAACCAAAGCACAGTAGCACAATTACAATTACTCTCATAAAAACATGCGGACAGGGAATGATTTGAATTGAATGATCAGACAAATGTTGTTGAATATACCTCATCTAACGCTATGCCCAGAATGTATTGATACTGTATACTGTAATTATCATCAATGTGCGCATGCTTAAGAATGTGTCAAGTGACATAACTGATGCCTGTCGTAAACTGAAGAATCAGGATGTCAGATACTTCTCAGCTGCAGAGAGACTTTAATAAACTACACTAAATGATCTATTAGGAACTGAGTATCTTTGCTAATTGCTGCCTGCAGTGTCAGCCTCCCTGTCACATCTCCATATGCTGTTTTCCTCCGAACCAGCCTATCAGAACGGCTCCTCTGTTCACTTTAAGACACCGAAGGGGGTCTCCTCACACTACATCAGCTGTGTCAAATAAACGGTTGAATTCAAAATGACCAGAGCGGTGAATTTTACTCAAGGCATAACTCATCCTGTGAAAATGGAATTCCCTAATTCCAAAGGGACCTTAGAAAGCAAATTAGTATCCCCTCTGAGAATACCCGCCACCAGGTAAGTGCTGTACCGGCACAAAGGCGTAAGAATGGAAATGTTTCGGATGAGAAAAATAAAATATAACCTTTAACTGACCCTGCTGGAGTTTAAAAATGTTCAATGGCTCCTTTTTAACTTATAACTTGGCTCTCTTTTTTGAAAAACCCAGAAGGTGTTTTACTGTATGGATTTCAAACAATTATCTTTGATGGATTATACCAACACTGCTATTACAACCTTGTCGCAGAAACACAGATCAATAAAATGCAATAAAGGGGTCAATATCAAGTCTTTGGACGTCAGCTATTAACACCTATGATAGAGCTCAATATTATTCATGAGATGTGTTGCAGGAATAGATATTGAAGCAGCTCAAAAATATCTTCAGCAATTGTGCATTTAGCCTGCGGCCACAACATGCAGGATAACAAGCTCACATTTCCAACAGCAGGCCTGTAATTAAAATTCATGTTGGCGGTTACTCACCTGTAGTCTCTACTATTCCTTCTAGTATCACCACAATTTCAAACTGCTCCGTTTGCATGGACCTCTGGGAGAGGTCGTAGAAGGGGCTTTTGGTGTCAATCACATGGCAGATCGTGAGTGGTGAGACGAGGAAGAGCTGGTCTGCCCCAGTGCTGAAACCCACGTCCAGCTCCAACTGATCCAGCGGAAGAAACTCGCCCTCGGGCGTCTGGCGAGACTAAGGAAGCGTACAGGAAGAGACAGAGACAGAGATGTTTGGTGGGGGAAGGAAGGGGAAAGACAGACTTATCTGCAGCACATCAAGAGCCTTTGGTGGAGCTTTTCACATTGTATATGCAATCTGAGGAACCAATCATCAGTCTCATCAGAACGGAAAAAATTGCTATAAGTTTTTCAAATGAAATCTAAAGAGGCATCTATACAGCAAGAATATCTATCAGCATGTTATGTGATGTAACACTGGGACCTAAAATGTGTCATATTTTAAACAAAACATAACATCAACTGGTTTAATGTATTTCTTGATACTGCTGGATTAGATAGCCTTATACTCAGCAGCTCTGTCAGGACGTAAACTACAATCTTTATGAGAAAATAAAATAATAATTTGCTAAAATGGCTACAGTATTTGGTAAATCTAACCGATTGTATACTTACCTTGAACTTTGTAAGAGCTTACATTTAATTCCCTACTGCATATAAAAGCATGATAATTGGTGAATATTTGTTTTGTAAAGCATTACAAAAAAATAACATATAGATTTATGATTGACGTTTTAATAATCAGGTGTTGGACAGCAGGGATATCCATACATTAAATTATTCTAATAAGGCACAGCAGCCAGTTACCCCAGATTGTAACACACTGTCACTTTTAAACAGTTTAAAATAATTGTATGAACAAAAGGTTCTTCTCAAGATCTTGTAAAGGGACATTAAGACCTCTTGGCATATTTAATGGATTATATTCTGCAATTAGTTATGCAAAATATGCAAATTGTAAAATGAATAAGTGGTCTTCTGTGCTTTGGTCAAGCATAGCCAATCTTTTGTATCATTGTGGTCTATGAAGCTTTGTCTGATAAATGCATCATGACTTCCTGTTAGAGCAGGTTTAAATGCCAGTGTGTAGGCCTTTAAGCATCAGTTTTCTAAAAATAAAAAACATGGACTTGGCCATGACAAACAATTGGAATAGAACTACATTCGCTGCCTGCCAACTAAAAGTAGCATGACTTACTTTCAGCAATTTGCAGCGGATCTGTGCAGAGACCATATGGCTGTTACGCAGGTTGCCGACCCTGAACATGAGAGTTAGTTTTCCATCTCGCATAGATATGGCAGCATGTTCACTAAACATCAAAGTCTCGGCCCTTTTCTTGGGCTGAGACATCTTGATAAACATGCAGCCGATCAAGAAGGCATCGACGATCGATCCGAGGATCGACTGGAAAAGAAAGAGAATGATCCCCTCGGGACATTTGTCTGTGATGTATCTGTGGCCATATCCTATCGTGGCCTCGGTCTCTATGAAGAAGAGAAAGGCTGAGGGGAAGTTATGGACATTGGCCACACATGGAGTGTACTTGTCATTGTGGGATCTGTTGAGGTCTCCTCGGATGTATGCGATGCACCACCACAAAGAGGCCATGAAGAGCCAAGCGACTGTGTAGGTGAGGATGAAAATAAATAGATTCCAGCGCCATTTCAGATCTACTAGTGTTGTGAATAAGTCTGAGAGGTATCTGCTGGTTTCACCACCCAGGTTCCCATGCTGGACGTTACATCGCCCGTTCTTGTCCACGAACCGCTGCCTCTTCCTCTTTTTCTCTGGGGGAGGCTGATTGAATCCAGACCCGCTAGATGAGGTGTTCACTACCTGATAATCGTCCCCAAATTTCTTTCGAAGTGCAGACATACTACGATGACAGCAGCGAAAGAAACAACAAAGGATTCAATAATATAAAAAAAAGTCTGGGTTGTAGGCGAGTTGCTGCAGTCGTTAATGCCCGTGCGCAATGTCTCCTCTTTGGAAATAAGGCGATAAAAGTGCGCTGTTTTCTCCCCGGTTAGTCTTGCACCGTCCTTTTTCGCCACACGCTACTGTTGCTACACTCTACAGCCATGAAATATCAATAATATATGAGTAGTTTACGAACCCCGAAATATAAGCCATATGCAAAAAGAATAGGCGACGCACGGGATAAGGTATCCAAACGCGCCAGTCGCAGTCCAGGTTTTACAGGTTTATCAGTTGCTGCGTCGTGGATTACTCATCGCCCGTGAAGGTTGGGGCTATATCGACCTGATCAAAACTGTACTCACAGAGTAAGTTTTCACTTGAAAGTTCAAAATCCTTAAACGGCCCATAAAACAGCAATATCTCTGCGTAATTATTCTCTGAAAACTGTTCCCAGGATGAAATGTCTCTGTGCGCACTTGCGTCTGTGTTGGAGATTGTTCGGTTTCCAGTCCTTCCTTTGTGATCTGTATACATAGGAGATGAATTGCATCCAAGCATACGAGTGTAAAAAATGACGAGATGGAGGAAGAAAATCACTGTCCCACTGTCGTCATTTTTGGCTGCGCGCATCGACGCTGTTTGCCAGGCTCTTTTCGGGCACCTTTTCCCTTCTCTCAGTTAAATGTCGACTGGATTCTCATGGTTCAGCGGTAGAGATCCACCAGATGCTCCTTTGGCTGCTTAGATCCTTCTTTCCTGTCGATTTGTGAGCGGCTCCTGCGCACTTCCACGTTTCCAGTGATGCACTCACTGTTGCCTAGTGGTACTACAGTAAAAAGACAGACAATTTGGAGGAGGAGGGAAAGGGTTCGCCTGATTTGACAGTTTTTGATGATCAAATATGTGGAACTGCAGCCAATATATGTCATGATTGCTTTCAACTAATGACACTGGACACCACATTTAGCTTTTAAAAAGACAATACACAGGCATCTGACCATGTGTTGCATTACCAAATAAAGACTATTATAAAAACGGTAATAATACAAATAATAAAACCATGTGGTGAATGTGCAAAATAGTGTATTTTAAACCTTTATCACAATGTTGCAATGCCACTGCTTTGATGCATCCTAATTTAATAATTTTGAACATATATATATATTTCTATTATTCCCCTTTTATCATCTCCAATTCAGTTCAAATAAAGTCTTTCCATCTGTAGTGGACCTTTACAAATGCACCTTTGTTTACCAGCTGTCTTTGACACCTGTGCTAACAGCCTCTGATGATGACCCCGCTTTCATCCCATGGGTGACTGCACCTTCTTTGCAGAATGACACATACAAAAATATCATGTAACAAGTTCTGCAGGAATGATGCTGACATTCAAACTGTATGAAATCTCAGGGGGGACAAAGAGCTGCAACAAGGATACATTGCAGAATTCACTCGTCGTATTACCGAGATCATGGCCACAGAGGAATACACCCACACCATAGTTACCCAGGCTCACATGCTGTCTCTCAGACACACGAGGCAGGAGGAGCAACATACCACCACCTCTTTCCCTCAGTCTCTCCACACCCCTTTACAATTATCTTTCTTTCCATTACATCGAGATGTAATTTGGATAAGCATTATGTCTCCCTGATAAAGGCACAATTACCAACCAATCACAAAGACACTAATGACTGCAGCTTTGAAATTCAAAAATGTATTTTATTTAAATATTTTTGGCAGTCAGTTTTGAACAAGGTGTATAAGCAACAGAGCAGTTTTGGGGTGCATTTGGATAATTATTTTTGGATAAAGAGTACATTTCAGGGGACAAAGAAATACATGAAACACCCTTACTTCTGAATCAAGTCACCCATACATGTTACTTGCATCATACACAATGTCATGTAAATATACTTCATACATATTTACACTCTGCTGTCATGTCGTGCAGCATCTGCTGATTTCTTATATGCCAAGATACACTGTTAATGTCTACCGCAGCTTGTTGATATTTTCCCAACCGTTTTGGGATCCATTGTCTGAGCTCATAGGGATCAATATGCTGTTGAGTCACTCTATTCCATATCTACCTCTCCTATTATCCTGCAGCTCCCTGTGGTTTATCCCGGTATTCCATAACCAGTCTAAGCCCGGTATGCTGTACTGTACAAATGGTATAGCTTCTAAAAAATGACACCAAGGCCTGACATAACCGTTTCCAAATGAGCGATTACATGTCAGCGCTGTGCAACGTTGATGTGCCTCCAAGTGTTGTCTGCGAGGCGCTGTGGTTCAGTCCTCTGGAGGGGGAAGGCAGGGAAAGATTTCCCCATCAGCATGCCGTCATAATTGCCAGGTGAACATTAGCTTCTGCAGGCCTCTGTGCTTTTATAATAAGTGAAGAGTAACACAGGTCACCCTCCATGCATTCTGGCCCTCATTAGGAGTAAAAGGCTATTCACATATTTGTAGAGAAAAAATAAGGCTATTAGTTTGGACTGGTTACCCAGACTCACACACTGTCTGCAGACACACGAGGCAGGAGGAGCAACATACCACCACCTCTTTCTAGCCAGCCAGCACGGATTTTTTAATTGCTGTATTTCAGAGATATAGTCATCGAAACAAAAGTTTTCCCCACAACTCTTGACAAATCGTCTGACATGCATTTAGAAAATTGCAACTAACTTCTAAGAAAACAGTGGAGTGTGTAAAGACACTATATCTTATGCATATGTCTAGTTTTAATCAGTCTGAATGCCCCTAAAACTTTAAATCAAAGTGTTTTTTTTAAATAACAAATATTTTTGAATGAACAAAAACAACTATTCTTTCAAACAAACAAACATCATGCTATTTCAACACTCAAAATCTCAGCTAATTGGATTACTTGCCTCTTGATATTACATTGGACTGAGAGTGACCAAACGATCCACCAATGCCAATAGCTTCAAATAGCTAAAACCTGATTGGAGCAGAGAGAAAAATAGAAATCTGTTGTTAAAAAAATATATATACACCCAATGCTTTTACCTTAATGGAGTAATCTGTTGATTGCGTGTGAAAGATAATAGTTATCGTTAAGATTTCTTTCTTCAGTAATTGATTACTGTTCTCATATCAAATGTCAGTAAAGGGTAAAGATACCCATTGCTTCTAAAAGCAGTGTGTGCCCCCATAAAAATGTGTAAGTAGAAGATGTTCGCCATAGGAAGAGGAGGATGTTTAAATGAGTAAACATGTGTTCAAATGTGTGATCATGTTGGACCCAATCGTGGTAACGGAAAACAAAATATAAGGCCGTAATTTGATACAAAAGCAAAATGTGTGCAACAGACCTGGTTGCAAAATAAATGAATGTTTGTTTATTTTATTTTCAAGCCTAGTTTTTTCATGATTTATAAATTAAAATATACCATACACGAAACAACATCAGATCAGCATAAGGAACCCTTATACAAACCATTAATCAAAAACTCTCATCCCCACAGAAACACATTTGTAAGTCTGCTCCACACACAGACTGTGTCACTGACAGCTGAATACAAGAAAGCGGTTAGGGTCCGGTCATGTTCTTGTCACACACCAGGAGGCAGCTGATGTGTAACACGGTGCACTAAATTGAAATATATGCAGATTAGTTCTTATTTTCTAGCAGCTAAATTTGAAAGAGCAGTACATTTTATTTCTACAACTCGACGGCTTTTTCCACCACAAAACACCATCTTCCATCATCGCCATTACGTGTTTTGCACTTCTTGCACCAGCGCATGTCAAGCATCCGTTAGTCAATGATCAGAAATACTTTGATGATCTTCTGTAACCCATTTTATAAAAATAGCCCAACAGGCGGTCCGGGATGGGATTGATTTATTAATCTAATCAGACCAATGTAGGACACTAGATGCATTTGTCCTCCTCTCTGAATCAGCTTGGGTAGCACTTGAGGTCATCGTCGAGGAAGATTAGCCAATCACTTCAGACAATCTGCTGTAATTTTCCATCTTCATTTATAATCTCTACAATCAGAGGCAGAGCAGGGAAAACCGCCTCAGCTTTGATGGATTTGTCTTTTTATTTCCCCACACAAATGTACCACATCCTCCGAAAAATGTCTCTGTAATCTTATTTTGCTGATACAATATTGATTTTTTTGTATTTTAAACAAACAATCTTATCATGAAAGACATGAACTATGATTTTCTCCCCGCACAGATTAGGTCTTAACATGAGTCCCACTGGATGCTGAGGCACTAACAGGCTCTCATCCATGCTTGGCATATAATGTGAAGCCATGTGGTGGATGTGCAAGGCAGCAACTCCAAACCAGTGACTCGAAGAGGAACAACATTGGGTCAAAATATGGAAGCTCCAAAGACCATATGAGATTGTCAGCATCTTGTGGCAATCAAAAAACATTACAGCTGTTATTCAGCGACTAAAGGAGCAGCAGCGTTTAACCTTAACATCTGATACGATACAGCCGCAGTCATGTGAGATGAGGAATAATGACAGACACACATTATGTGTAAAAATCGAATGGAAGTAATGTTCTGGTGTATTCTTCTGTTTTGTATTTCCACAGCTTTTTAAGAGGGAACCTTATTTGTTGTCTCAGGTCAAAAATAGCACCAAAACAGGAGTGTTTTGTAGAAGAGCTCCTGGAGATTGATGATTGATTACTACACAATTACTGCTGAAAGCAGCAGGGCCCCTCCTCCTAATCACTGATTTTGTTGCTAAAAGGAGATTATCACAGAGGAAAAGCTTGTTTGAGGCACTTCCGCCTGCAGATCAATCAAAAATACTCAAGAGATTGCCAGCATAGATCAGACCTTTCTCGGCTCTGCACATTTAGCACAGGTGCTGTACATTACTCTGTTTGGGAGTATGCCTTGGATGGCATAAGATTTGACTCCTACTGAGATACTAGCCTCAAACCATATCTAATTAAAGCTGATTTTCAAAGCAGACGCTGTGGAACTTCAGGTCCCCTCAACAATTAAGCTCTGGATTTTTCCTCTGGTCCTGAGCAAGAAGAAAAGGCACATTCACAGGGTTGATTATTCCCCTTGCTTCCCCCCGGTCTGCCTCTACCTATTATTGGATTCACTTAGTTGATGGAACCCCATATGTTGAGCTGAAGGAGAGGGGCAGACCGGAGACACAGTGGAGAAATAGCATGGCAAATGTATACGTATCGTATTTGAAGTCCAGGCACGAAACTCTAAAGAGTTTTTTGTCATGATGGTCTAATGGAAACAGGTTAGAGAGACAATCACATAACCACCAGGGATGTTCTATTCCTGCTGCGATGTTCTTAAGAGCTGTACTGCATAGGAGCAACAGGGGGAAATGGGAACATTTGTTGAATACAACTGCAGGGTGTTTTCACATTTGCATGGGTGTTATTCCAAATGTCCTTTACGTGTTAACAGTAAAAAAATAAATAAAAGCATTTAACATTTGACTTGTTGCTTTCCAATCATTTAAAGGTTTAGAAGAAAACAATAATTGATTCCAATGTACATTATATGTTATGTTTATGAGCATATTCAAAGTGTTACCCATAGGCTTTTGTTTATACTAACTGACTGGCACTTACCAACTACAAATCAGTCAACACAAATCACCATCAAAGTCTTGTCATTAACATGGCTGTGTGCCTGCAGTGGTCCACTTTGCCAATGGACTGTGAGACAATATTGTCATATACCCCAGCCTTTAAATGAGCCGACTGGGCACAGAAATGTTCATTCTCATTCAAAACTACTTTCAGATTATCTTAATTTTCAGGGTTTCTGTCCCAATATAACAGTTACCCTGCTGCAGTGAACACTGACCATGCTCGGTCTTGTTTCTGTCAGTATTGAAAAGCAGCTCAGGACATTAACTAAATAATTGTACATAAGCAGTTGGAGGTTTTTGTATTTAACTTGAGTATTTCAGAGGGAAAAGTGCCTGTAACCCAACTAGATGTATGCGATAGCTGTAGTAGTTAGTAGTACTTTTCACAATAAAGTACATTTAAAAAAAACACATGGGAAGAGCATAAAATATAGTTACAAATGTTGTTGTGGCATAAAGCAACATTTTAAAATTCTATAGCCTTTTGCACCAGTTGATTCATAGTATCAGAGACACAGATTGAGGCCTAATAGGAAATAAAAGACAAGGCTACTCGCAATTCCAAAACCTGCAAACTTGGACTCAAAAAGGGACTTCCAGGAGTGAAAACATTTAAAATAAATTCCATCTACTTCGTTTCGTTTTGGAACTACAGAATTACAAGTACAGCACTGCAACGAAGCTACATACTGTAGGCTAGGTCTAATGACTGATGCCTGTATAAACATTCACTGCACTCTTAACTTTAAAACATAACATATCAAAATGTCCGCTTTCAATAACCCGCAAAAAACAATGAACTACGACTTAATGTTGTAATACACAACTTGATAATTTAGCAATCTACATGTGGTAGGACGGTGGTAGTTTCATACGACACACTCTTCATTTAGCTGGTAAAACTAACATAACAAACACATGTAAATCTTATATCTGCATTGTTACATTTACACGTTCATTATACATCTGTGTCATTATTTTCACACATGTTTTAACCACTTTTACTCACCTTGGAATACAGTAACACTGCAACCCTAGCCTCATTTTGTGGGCTCGGTCTTGAGTGAATCGTCGGCCGCTTCTGCGTCTCACCTGTAGGACCCCTGAGCTGCCCTAAGTGCCTGTGTGAGCTTTTCATTGTAACCAAATAAATATTATAGTTGCTATTGCGTGTGAAAACATACCAGAAGATTAAATAAATCAAATTCAACAAAATACAAAAGTGCCGACAGCAAAACAATACAGTTTCCATGTCAATTAAGATTCCAGTGTCAATATAGGCCCAACACCTGAGTAAGGTGAAACTAAACTATAGTTGCAGACAAATTGTCAAAAAAAATAATCATGTTCTATTTATTTTCTAAACACTATTCCTTAACCTCATGGGGTTAATTTATTAGGACTTAATAAAAGACAACTGCTAAGAGAAGACTTTCATACATACAATAGGTGTCTACAGACCCTATGATTTGGAGAAAAACAACACACATCATTTGAAACCAATAGTTTTAGAAATATTTGTAGTTGAACTGAATAAAATAGGGAATAATAGTCTCTGGGGACACAATATATTTGTACACATACAACTACTGTTTCTGAGCTTAAATGAGTCCATGTTTTATATGGCTACTGGCGTCTAGAATTGTGCAGCCTCTCTGGTGGGAAGCTCTGGATGTGTTGAACCTTTGAGAGCCACAGTGACCCACAGTAAGCCACAGATAAGGTCTCCATTAGGGCTGTTATTTTAAAGCATCTCACCCGTTAATGGACTCCCCTGGCCCAGCTGCAGACCCACTATCTTATCCTCCCAGGCCCAGTTAACAAGCCTGGGTTTGGCTTCCTACAGGTGTGAGACAGGGCCCCTGCTGAGAGTGTGGCGAGACACTCGTGTGTTGTCGGCTCCACAGCAACTATTAATATACCTCTGCAATGGCTACCTTGGTGAGCATTACAAACGTTTATTGAAAAGCATTAGTGAGGTGGCAAAAAAACAGAAAACAATGAACACTTTATATAATGAGAGTTATTATGATAATAACACCTCTCTGTTGTGAAGAAAATGCTTCTATATATTTATTTATATTTACCATAAACCAAACAAATGACATAATATTATATTATATTATATAGTAATACATAATTAATGTAATTAAGTAATTCATGTAGTGTTTATATTTGATTAAATATTAAAGTCGTCATTTTAAGAAACAAGTTAGCTCTGCTTAAAGACCGGAATGTGTTGTTTTCACACTTGGTTTTAGTACAGGTTAGACAACAAAAATATAACCTTTGCAATGTCAATTCTTTCACAGCATGGATTTTAACAGAGGAAAGGTGTTACAGCTGTTGCCCATCTTTATGCTTAACTAAGCTAATCAGTTGTGGCTTGTAATTTGACATTTTAGGTAGTAGGCCTACAGACATGTTAGTTCCCGGCAAGAATGTTTTTTCTCTAAATGTCAAAATGTGCCTTCAATCAATCATCCATGGAGAGAAATTAATCAACACATAAAGTCATTTACCAAGCAAAAATAACAAATATTAGTATTTATATATAATATTTTTGGCCTTTATTATTTGTTAAATATTAGGGTTTTGGACTTTTTAGTTTAGAGAAGGTTGTCAACCCTTCATGTCCTTCACGTGAATTACCAATATGCGTGGTGCCTTAGGCTTGCATTGGGACAAGCAGGCTTTTCCCTCAATTTAAATGTCCACTTCATTAACAATACTCAACAACAAATTATAGTATTACTACTATTAAGGTCAACCATGGAGGAGAGGCTGCAATTAACAACCTATAAAAAACCCCACACTCAAAACTGGTAATGAGATGTACGGGGTCTTAAAAGCATCAAGAACAAGTTTTATTAAACAACTCATGTATTTAGCGAGACGTGCTTGCTTGAAACTGATATTAATGCAAAAATCTATGTTAAAGAGGACCTATCGTGCTATATTGGAATAATATATTGTAGGGCCATACCTATATAAAACATGTCTGTGAAGTTTTTTTTTCAAAATACCAAACAGATCATGCATTTTAGCCATGCCTCATTTTGCTCTATTTGCCCTTTTCCAGCCCTGTTTTTGCAAGGGCTGATTCTGTGAGAAGTATTCTTCGCTGCTTTTGTGGCAGACTACAGCGCCACTTACAGGCCTGGCATATGTACTACAGCGTCTCCAGCGCTTTCGAGCGGCAATGGCCGTGGCCCAACCCCCCATTCCCCTGATAGGTGGAGAGTTGCCCATAGGCGGAGCTTCCCGTTTCTGACGTCAGAACAATTTCAAATCTGTATCAGCTCCGTTGCAGCCCCGTTTTTAGAGATTTGGGTATGGAGGAAAAGAGAGAGGGTTGTGTTTTCTGTGAGTTCCCTGACACACCGGGGACACATATTCATGTATAAAAGACGTACAAAAGTGCATTTTGCATGATAGGTCCCCTTTAAGTATTTTTTTACAAAAAGGCAAAATGTACAAACAGGTAACATCACTTTGCAACCAGTACATTGAAACAATACAGTCCTATTTTAACACCATGCACTTTGAGATAATGAAAAACAATAAATGTATCCGTGTAATATGAAAGAGTTGATTGAATTTTAGTCTGGATGCCAAGCAGGTACTTGGCAAAGACTCAGTATTCGAACAGCATTGATAGTATTTCCCCATTAGTTGATCCCTCATGTCCGTTTGCCTGACGCCCTTCAGGTGGTCTGAGAATTTGGCTTTGTTAGTCCGACGATTATTTCCAAGACACACCGCAATTTCGATAGGTAAGCACCGTTTTTTATTACCATACTCCAAATAAAGCACAGCAATACCTTGTGATCTTTAAACCATTCAATTTTGTTTTTCTCAGAGTGTTCAAGTTTAACCGCATCTTAGAAAAATAATTGGTTCTGTATGTACAACAACAACAACAATGGTGATAGAAACATGTTAACAGTATTATACAATAGCATTTGTTGCCTGATCCTTATCAAAAATGTAGTGAAAAACTACATTTGCACATTTTAAACGTTTTGACTATACTGTTACTAAATTATTGATCGAGCATTAATATGAAGGTGACGTATTCATGAGGTATGACAGTTATTTCATATCAATTTCCATGTTTTTGCTAGAAATTAAGAAAAATATTTGACATTCTTTTTGTTTAATCACCAAAGTAAATCAAATGTTTTCTGAAACAAATGATCCAATAACTGAAACAGCTTTCTAAAGGCACACGCAACTATCCTGCTCCAAGACATCATGATTCCTCAGGATTTTGGTAGCAGGAATCTGAAAACTTCAGTAATGACATTCTCAGATAGCTGTGATAACACAGAACCGTTACAGTGTTTCAGAACTCAGTCGTTACCATTTAGGGGAAATTTACATTCAGTCAAAAAACAATTATGTATATTCTACTCATAGCAGAGTCTCTAATACTGTACTCTTAATTACTTTACTTCGAACAGACCCAAAGTGCTGCTTCACATCTTCATATTGTGGTTCCCGTTTCACTTAAATTGAACCTTTTGATTAATCTGGGAGGATGTTATAGCTACACTCTTGTGTTGCATTCTCTTAAATTTAAGACGGTTTAAAAATAATTAGCTTAATAATTTTTTTAATCTTAAGAGATTCACCTAAGGTATTTTTATCTGACTCTTACTGTCTGTTTTACACTATGTTGCCAGAATACCAAAGGAAAATGTTATGTAATGTAATGAAAAAAAGGTTTTTCCTATCTTATAATAACACCAAAAAAGGCTCCGATATTAGCTAATCACCCATATGTTATTATCCGCCTATATGACAGCTTATAAGAGGAAATCGGGGTAAGAAATTCAAAAGATATGTTTGAGGTATTTTAGTAATGCGCACTAGAGAGCACTGATAAGTAAACCTTGTTTGTTTTGTAGATAACCTAATTTAAGGATGCTGAAAAAACGTTTTTTTTCATTAGTTTAAAGTCAAACTAAAATAATACTGTTTTTAAATGTATCCTTTGTGTTTGTTTGACTTTAAACTTCTTTGAAAAAACCAATTATGAAGTTCCTCACAGCCATGGACGCTGAAGGTGTGATACCGGCCCTCAAATGTCAGTGCCCAGCTGTCGTGGGACACGCCCGTCCAGAGCCTGCAAGCTACACAATGTTTCTACAAATGTATGTCCCCAGAATATTTACCTCTTTTTATAAAATGAAAAAATATACACAAAAGCTGTAGTATCCTTATATAGTTATATGATGTAATGTCCTTGCATCACGATGAGAATTCAAATTTCAGCTCGACTTTAAAACCAAATATTAATGCACAACAGCATTATTGGATTCTTTAACCCTCAAATATCAAGATAGGTTTCAACTCCTCAAATCCAGTATTGGTCCCGGCTCTATAAACAACATCACGTTCTGTTATTGAATGTACCTCAGACACTGATATGAAGAGAGAATGAGCAGCAGTCATGGAAACAGTCTTGAACAAAGCACAAGGAAGGTCATTTCATTTACAGTGCATCACAGAGACGTGCCTTGCTAGATTCTTGTTTTAAATGCTCTTCTATTTTTGTTTTGGTCCAACAGCTAAGCTAAGTCTGAGCAGCACAGTGGACCCAAGGCTAGCAGCTGTCTGACACAGTGTGAGTGCTTTGACGCAAATGTTCTCCATGCACAGACCTCACACAGCTTTTCTCCGGGCTCGGACCTGATGAGGTCCCCAAAGTCGTGGCTCGTCATGTCGCCTTACCGGCAGGTGCAGCTTCTCTGACATTTGCGGCTAGCTGTGAAAGGAAACGCCCCCATAATGGAAGATAAGCCGCTGATGCCTGGATCTCTGTATTTGTTTATACAGGAAGAGGCGTATGTTGTGCTGTGGTAGGAGCCACCTGGCGGGGGTGAGGAGAGCCATGGCTGGTTAGGATAAGGACAGAGTGGCGGGGGAGGAAGGTGAGACAGGGGTCAGACACTCAGGGTCATGTTTCGGAGCAGCCACTGCTGAGAGCGGCTGCCGTTGCAGTCTTTCAGGGTGGGGACCATCTTGTCCTCCTCTGACGGCATGTCCAAACACTGGTTGCTGTTCACGTGCAGCAGGGTGAGTTGCTGGAGAGGGAAAGAGGGAGATGTGTCAACACGTTAGCGTAGATACATAAACATTTTTCTGTCCTTTCCCCTCAACCTGGAGAAGGTGGAAACTGCCTGGATGTTTAAGAGGAACCTTCTAAAGACACACTTCCAAATATTGATTTGTCGTATTTTACAAAAACATTATTTTACCCAAGCAAATGGTCTGAGCTTCTTACACTCTAGGACTGCAGCTGGGGCAAGAAAAAAACCATAGGCACAATAAGAGAGCAGGATGTTCTGGTCGAGTTAAAGTGAGAGTCGTGCCCATTGTTCAACACAACATGCACTGAGGCTGCTCGGAGAATTGGAGCTCCTGTCAGTTGTGAGGCTGTGTCACAGCCACTTTACAGGAAAGATTTCTCTGTGAATCACTGTTGAGCATCAGAAAATGTCAAAAAAGGCACTAGCCGCAGAGACTATGCATTACTTCATGTTTTGGACATGATGGATATGTCAAATGCGTTGTAGTAAAATGGCATAGCAGTTTCCTGTAGATTTTGGCTTGGCGTGTTAGTTTGGAGTTGGCAGGTTAAATGTTGGATAAAAAGCAAGCAGAGATTGGACTCAGGGGGGCAGTCAGTGTGTGAGACAGAAGACTACAGTAGGAGGAGGCCTATGTCCAAGTAGCTTAAAATATTAGCCACAACACTAATTTATAGATATGTTCTATTATTATTATTAACTCTGCAACAACTTATGCGTTGGCCACTTTGAGGCAGCACTAATATTTATTTTAAGTCGATGACAAACAATTTAGCAAAGAGATGAAAGACACTATAATTCTCTACAGAGGTGAAGTGAAGCACAGCCTAGGGTGCTTTTAAGCATTCTGATCATGAAAACAACCAACATAATTTACTTTGTTATGTGCTTCTGTGGGAAACAAAAAGTTATTAAAAGTGACACCATTATTGGTAAAAGTAATAATGTCAGATTAGGTACATTTGGAAATTGCTAGTATTTGTAGTTATTACCAAACAGAAAGTATGGGCAGGCATAAGGCAAGATACATTGTTCATTTACCTGTATAAAAGTTTAAAATTAGATAACAATCAAAACAGGCACCCTTTAACACTCAATATAATATATATTTTCTTTATGTCATTAATAACACCTCTGGATGATCGACAGATAAACTCATTGTCTTATTGTTAGAGCAATATTACTAATAATTAAAAATGTTGGGACTATCTTTTGAGGGATAGATGTATATTCAAATGCTCATGACCTCAAGCACTACTGATATTCTTGGAGTTTCCTCAGCCAACCTCCCAAATGTATCTCCTGCTCCACTCCCCATTTTGCCCTCTCTTTTTAATCAGTCCTGTCTTTTTACTTTTCTCTCATATAAACGAGAAAAGGCAGAACAAAGTGCTTTTAAAATGTCCACACTGGAAAAGCACACCTGTTGTGATTAGTTGAACAAAAGCACCACATTAGCAAGCATATAATACCCTCACTAACCACTGGAGGAGAGATCTCAATGGCCTTGATTAACCATTTATGTTCATTCCCTCCCAAGTAACACGCTTCCGCCATTTCGCTCCTTACTTGAGTCTTTTTTCCTCAACCTAATAGTTGCACGTGGAGAGGTATAGAAGCTAAGTTTGCATAGGAAAATTATGATGTAGCTGGTATTGGTAAGATTTACTTAAAAGTAAAATGTTAAGTGATACTAAGAACCCATTAAAGGAGGTGTCATGCTTTTCCGGTTATTACCCGTCCCCTTGTGTGTTATGAAGGTTTTTATGCAAGTAAACGGTGTGCAGAGTCAAAACCCTCAAAGTACACCCTGTAGCGAGTAAAACTCTAACACAGAAAATACCTCCCCAAAACGCCTCGTTGGAGATACGTCATTGTCCATTTGATTCTTCCGGGACGGCATGATGTCAACCCGTACCCGGAACTAAATGGACCAATCTGCGGAGCCGTTACATTACGTCCGCGGAGCCGTTACGTTAAGCCCCCGCTGATTGGTCCAAATTGACCAATCCACGGACTTCCTCACACACACATCTGTGTTCAGGGAGCAGGCAGCTCAGCTGATTTCTCCTCCCTGGCTGCAGGCTGATAACAGACAGTTGGGATAAAGACAAATTCTCTCTGCAGACCCATTCTCACAGCGTTTATCAACCTTTTTCTTACTCAATATCAAGCCACACTTATTGTTTTTACTTCGGATGTGAGTTTGTGTGTGCTCAGGATGAGTTTGGCTGTGTTTCGCTATGTATCCTAAACAAGGAAACAACACCTCCACGGAGCTCAGCGCGATTCACAACGTCCCGACCAATCAGAGGACACTGTGCTCACAGGGAGGGTGGGGGCTGGAGCTTTGGGAGCTACAACGAGCCGTTAAAGGCAGAGAGTGAAATTCAGTGAATACAAGTAGTTTACAGAGATGCTGTATGAGAAACCAATGTGAGTTTGGAAAAATGCACAGTATAAATCTATTTTAGTATACCTCAACAATGGAATTATGATCAGTGGAAATGGCCACGACACCTCTCCTTTAAGTGTTCATGTGAATGAAGGGATTCAGAAGAAATCTTGAAAAGAAAAAGAAATATCCTCAGTTCCACCAGTCTGCACCCAGTTATCTAGGGAGTCATATTCATACTAAGCAGCACAGCATTAAGTTAAATAAACACCCTACAAACATCCCTAAAAACATTGTGTTTTTGGCATTAAAACATGAGCACTGGCATGATTTATCTTGTGGTTGAATCATAATTCTTCATTAAAACAAGAGTGTACTTTGACTGTTGACAGAACATATTCAGACTAATGAGCACACAGAGACACTCAGCCCATGTTTGATCTTAAGCTATAAAACACAACCCTGCCTGGATACAAAGAAGTGCGCACACACACACAAACTACTCAAAGTCAGAGTCTTCATTCAGCAATTTCGGTACCGAGACCAGTGCCATACATCTGTACCACACACACACACACACACACACACACACACACACACACACACACACACACACACCACACACACACACACACACACACCACACACACACACACACACACACACCACACACACACACACACCACACACACACACACACACACACCACACACACACACACACACACACACCACACACACACACACACACACACACACACACACACACACACACACACACACACACACACACACACACACACACACACACACACACACACACACACACACACACACCACACACACACACACACACACACACACACACACACACACACACACACTCAAACAGAACAAGAACAAAGAGAGCAGGTGGTGATGGACCTTACACACCTGCCAAAAAAACGAACGAGTAAGAGAAAGGAAGCTCTTCACTACATACATTTTAAGTTTGTTAAGCAGCTTATTTTGAGGATAAGAAAAGAAAACCAGAAAAGATATCACTTCTTTTTTTTGCCAATTTGAAATCAATACGCAGTATAATTCTCTTTAAATGTGTATTCATACGGCATATGGAGGTATATCTAATCTATAAATCATAAGGAACTGGCTTAGGCAATAATGAGAAATCACATTTTTCTTTTATTCAAAGATCGAAAGCTACTCTATTGGCAGAGATGACAGAAGAGGAGTGTAACAGCAGAGGGTAGAAAAACCATTCCACATTAAATGAAAATACTAGAAATGGTGAGGTATTGTCCTTTGCTCATCATTATTTCATGCTTCCTTTGGGGCAAAGAAAGCTCCCGTCTCAGCCTCGCAGCAAACCTCTGCAAGTTGCTGAGTGTATGCACAGCTGAGACCGGCTAATTAAATGAGAACGCTTTCTAACCATAAGCCAAGGGTGAGGAACATCATCCTCTTTGTCACCAGGCAGCGCGGTGGACTCGCTGAAAGGCAGAATACATCCTGGTTGACGTGATCTTATGCGGAGGGCTGACCTGCTGTTTTTGTGGGAAATACAAAAAACAGCAGATACCTTTTTTGTCTCGAGTCAGAAAACAGTCTCACTCGCTCTAATGGTGCCCTGCTATTGTGTACGTGCTCTCCTCTGATGCTGGACATAGGACCTCGGAGTGAAAACAGCAAATCAGGCCATCTAACAGCAGGTCATTTTACTGCCGCAACTCTGACACACACCAGCAGCCATTGGAGCTCCTTACCCAATTTACCCTGCTTGCACACAAAAACTGTGGCATGCTACAGTGAAATTGCTCATTAGCTTTTTGAGAGATAGAGGACTCCGTACAGGACTCTGTACAGGACTCCGAGGCGCAAACACCATATAACAAAGAAAGCGAACTAGGATACAAAGACCGGAAAACTGCAACCCTGACACAGCCAGAAAATCGTCAGCCAAAACATTTTCCTTACAAAAGCATTTAAATAAGCAAGGCGAGTGGTGAAAAGCACCGATAATACGAATTCATTGGTTTTACAAATATGTACATGGCACACAGTGTATACAGCTGCTTCAGGCCAATAGGAGAGTGTCCCGAGAGGCCAGTGCCATGAAAGGCAGGTTCACAATGAAGGATCACTTCAAAAGAACTTGTAAACAATGGTGAGCCCATTTTAAATCAGCCCTGCCTGTAGATAATCAGCTAAAAATAAATCATGCCTCCATCTCAGGCATCATCCACCGAACGCTGGCAGGAAAGGGGGCAGCTGCTGGATTTTCACATCAAAATAAAATATTTATGTTGGAAAATAAATGTCAAATTAGATCTAATTTAGCATGAAAACTGGCTAAAGGTCCTCGTTGATAGCATCTTATACACAGAACCATCGTGATGGGACATCTGTCACTTATTGATGTGCCTCTGCCCCGGTCTTCATACGTTCCCCCTGAAAGGTCAGCGGTAAAAGCTACTTAAAACCATTTCCATGCACATTCTGACTAATACCTGAAAGATCAACAAGAGATCAGAACAACAAGCTCTGCATTCATCCGCCCTCACTGAAAAAAAACAAGAAACTAACAAATCCCATAAAAACGAAAACAACAATCAGCTACAAAGGTGACTATTAAACCGGAACAGGTCGAACTAATCTACTTCTAACAATGCTAATGACAAACTACATCACTACACGCGACTAAACGACCACCACTTGCCTAATTTTTACTAACCTGCTCACCTCAAGCCCTACAGTTAGAGAAAATAATCAGTGGGACTGAAGTAAAGGTGTTGAGCGACTTCCTGACGTGTGTAGTTATGGAGGATCCAGGCCTGTAAGGGACTGCCGTTACAGGACTCCACTGTGGGGCCGTAGGTGCCGTCCTCCAGGCGGCTGATGGTCAGACATGATTGGGTGATGATGTGGAGGAAGGTGTGCTTCTGCAGCAAGCCCGGAGTGATAGGGAGAGATGGTATTGAAGGTAAATCCAAGAGTCATGAATTATTGTTAAATCAATCCACCTGTTCCTCACTGCCCACTTTCAAGTTTATAACAGGTGATTTGTTCAAATAGAAAAGTTGTGTTGTTTATTTAAGGTGTTTGAATCCTGGACTGACGCAGTTTGATCATGGACCTGCATCAGGTGTAAAATTCACAGTATGAAACCATATATCTTCAATATATATGAATGACTGGTGACTCAGATATCAATACATCTGAGACAAATTAACCAGTGAATTAGCACATCAATAATTATAACTGGTGAAAAAAACTCATTTAAAATCTGAGAATTAATTTCAAATTCTGCACAGTACAGATATAAATAGATTGTGTTCAACTATAACAGATGTCAATGAACAGCAATGTTTGTTGTTTTGACATGACCCATTTAATATTCGGTTGAATAAAAAACAATGTATTTTTTGTTGTACGGATTTTGGCATATTGCTGGTTTCCTTTTAAGACATTTTTCTCAATGATTGATCTGGTAATGAGGTTACTTTTGGCTCAGATGTTTTGATATTTGCTCCTCCTTTTTGATTGGAGGATACAACTAATCAAGTGCTGCATTCAAGACTAAGGACACTCTGAAATGTCCAATGAAACAAATATGGACATCTCCACATAACCTTTAGATATGTACAACATGACAATGTAATAGAGTTGAATTTATACTGTCAATGCACAGAATACAAGTTTTATATTGTGAATTTGATGCCTGACAAAGATCAGTAATGATAACTTTATATCTCTACTAAACTCAGTGCTGCTCATAGTTTGCAGAAATTAAACTTGTTTCTACCCCACGTGATTACATTCTTCCTAGTTTAGATAACACTTTAGTGCAAAGGGTTACATTTTCGCAGAGGACGTGTCTTTGTGGGTGACACAACCTGACAGCTCTCCTTGGCAATACAGTATTGCCGGCAATAACAGTAAAACAACTTTCAATCTCTACTATGCTAATGTGAATGTTGCATGTATACGAAGGATAAACGGAAGGCCAGGATACATTTGTCAGATTATTCTATTTAACATTAAGGTATATTTATGTGTAAATAAAGGAGAGAGAACATAGCTCGATCCTGGCTGAAACAGCAGGGGAAAAAGAAAGAGGGCAGTCTGTCACAGTCGTGAATGAATAAAGCAGGACCATGGTAGAGACAGGTATTTCTATGAGAGTGAAACTGATGAGAAGATGAAATGTTAATGGTTCTGTAGTCACAAAGGCATCAGTCCCTGTCCATCACACTGGGGCTTAAAATAACCGAGGCCACTGACAGCGGTGAAACCCCAATGCTGTTCACAACAGAGACCAGTCCTCTTCGTTTATGAATTATTCAAGTTCTTCCATATTAAGAATGCTCCCAAAGAACAAAGTGTAATGAAGGGATTTCTCAGAGGGTTTGTTCAGTGCTGGGTGGAAAGGCCTCCGGGCCTCCTCACCTTGTCACAACTACATGTCAGCTATAGTACATCTCAATCACTGATAAATGGCCCTGTATTCAGCTCACTCTTCTCCAACCATCGCCTTGTGCTTCAGTAGAGGAAACATGAATTGTTCATATAAAAGTTGCTTTTTGTGATGTACAATCCATAATGGACTATGAGTTATGAGTCAACAAGGGGAGTATTTTAGTCCTTCTTTGAGATCCACATTTTTCTTTTTTATATTTAAGAGCCTTCAAAATTGACTCTACATTTCATAATGAATGTATCCATAACCAGGAATATAAGGTAAAAATTAATCTGCTGTTTAATATACAGAATTTGTCACTTGTTGGATGTGTATGTTTTGTTTAAGTGTATCTTACAGGCCATAGGTCTGTTATGTAACACATATATCAGGATAAAGGTTTGTTATTCTACCTGGCAGGTGTTTTATTATTCTTCCCATCTCATTTACTTGAATTAGGGTTGATTTAATGGCAGCAATATCTCTATGTATAATGCAATTCAGTCGAACAGCAAATGCTCCACTCCATAATGTCGAGTCTTAACAAAAACTAAACATCATATATTTTTATATCGTATCAGACTGCATTCTTTACAGGAGGGGTGTTGTGATGGGTTGAAAATAGAATTCATTTTAAAGAACAAATAGAAATCAAACATCCTTTAAATTAAAGATTCAACCTCCCCTTTCTGCCAAAAATAATAAACCATAAATCCTCTACTCTAAAAACCACCAACACAGAAATATGGGATAAATCACAACACTGGAAGCACAGCACTCAAACTACGGGGCAATATTCAGGAACGATGACTTGAACAGCTTACCTCAAAATCATATTCCCACTTGCCAACATACTAAGTGAGAGGAGAGAACATGAGAGCATAGACTCAGCAGCTGGGGTTGACAACTGCTAAAAAACTGACATACAGCGCCATCTGGTGGAAGCAAATGTATATTGCTTCTCCCACTTTGCACTACCAAAACCCTCACGATGACATAGGCAAAACAAAATCATTCAGCATTTCCTCCAAGTCCTTTTTCGAAACATCAGTCAATAGGAACCAAAGAATGCCCCCCTGCCTGGTTATGGCATTATTTGGCTGCTGACGGGAATATGAGTCCTACCTCGGCATCGTACTCGAACATCTGATTGCCCTTCATGTGGTGACACTTGAGCATGACGACGGGTCCATTGAGGCGGGATACATCCAAACAAAGATCGTCTGTCCTTATTTCTTTATCCGCCGTGTAAGAGAACACCTGAAAAACAAGAGGCCTCTGTCAGAAGAGGAAGAATCAACGTCATCACTAGGCTTTCTAGAAATGTATATGATCATTGTGTCTTTGATCAAGGGATATTTGAGTGATTTGCACATATTTCTTTGTGATTTTATTTGGATTTAGAGCCTTTGTTGTGCCAAACCTGATTTAGATTGTGTCCTGTACAAAAAGAGTGCAGTTTCAGTGATGTATACTCATGTAGTGTCTCAGTTATTCAGAATAGCCCATAACAAGAGTTGCAAGCAAAGAGGGAACACTGTTCAGACGAGAGTACAATTAAATACTTGGCACAAACCATCCTCAAATGCCAAAGACTTCACAATGACCGACAGCAGTGAACCAAATCAACAAAGGACTAAAGAAACACGAAAGAGAAACTTGGCAAACATCCCAACTTGAATTGTATGGAAAATCTGTGGATTGACTTGAAAGTTGGCAATTCACACACACTTTGCCTCCAGTGTGATTGAGCTCAAGCTTTGGAGCAAAGACAAAATCCCAAAGCTCATGTTTCCAGGATAAAGCAGTATCAAAGGCTTGGCTTTTTCAATGTTAATCCAAAAGAGATTAATCCTACATTCCACTAAGAACAATTCCCCTTTAGGCACATTCCCAGTTATTGTTCATAGGACAATGTTTGTGTTGTTGTACAAACAGTGTTGTAAGACTACAAACAATACATATGTTTGCTTTAATATATGCCTTCACTCACCTGGTTTCCACCCATGCCATGACAGTTGAAAAAGCCAACTTTCTCGTTCTCCTTTCTTCCCATGTTGTCCACACACTGGTTGGTCTCAACATTTCTGATCTACAGGAAGGATTAGAAAAAAAGGATTAAAAGCTCTCTAATGTGAAGTTAACTTTCTATGTCTAGTCCGTGTCTTTAATTTCATACTTATTAGCAACCTAACCAAACAGAAGCCAGTCGAGGCCTGCTTAATATTTCTCATTAAAAATTAATAATCTTTTCTACACCCCTATTCTTTTGTGAGTGTTCATTAATGTCCTGTGGTTTATTGCTACCGTTTCAGTTTTAGTTCTTGGTTAAAGCTTTACTTTTTTAGGTTTTGATATGCAAAGACGGCAGACATTTTCTGATTCAGATACGTAATGAACAGTATGTGAGGCTTGTCTTTTTGTATGTATCGTTGTAAAATTAATGTCTTTGGATTTTAGTTTGACAAGTGAGACATTTGAAGAAAGCCGTCTTAGGCTCCAAGAAATCATAGCTGGCATTTTCTATCCTTTTTTTAACATTTTTTCTAGGCAAAATTATACCATAATAATGAAATGTTTGTTAGTAGAAGCGTCAAATCCTCAATATAATTGATATTGTGTCACCAAGTTATCCAAATTCTACTTTCTATTGTCTTTCATTGCTGACATGCAGAAGTGAACTCACTGACTTTACAGTCCACTCAGCTTCCTAATGAAGTCATACATTCTAAGGCTGAGCTGGCTCTATATGTTGCCTGAGCGTCTTATTATAGCTGTCGTGCAGGAACAGGACGGCGTTCATAATTAAGTGATATAAAACCTAATGGTTCCGGCTGTTAAAGAAAGGCTGACTGTGTTATGGAGGAAGAGAAATCAGCTGGGAGAAGTTAGAGGAAGACGGGAGCTGAGGAGCTGCAGTGGCTAAAGCGAGAGAGGGAGAATCAAGTCGTACTGCAGAGCAGCACCGATGGAAAATCCCCTCATCCTCAGCTGTATGAATGTTGGAGGATTACAGGCTCATTTCACCATGAGTTCTTCCACTGACATTACTTTTAAATGGCTCCCACCTATTGTACAGACAGCGCACTGCATGTCAGCGCTGACTTTACCCCATGCTGCACTGCTGCTCCCACGGAGCCGTGGGCATCGAGAGGCAAATCCAGGCCACTTAAAAACTTTTCTGTGTGAGGGGGAACTAACGATTAGAAAGGAACTCAAACTTTCAATATCTTCAAAACAATTAACCATGAATGAAAGCTTAGCTGCAAATTATCGCAGTTCCCACAATCCCCTTTCTCATTTGTAAAAAAACAACTATGTTTCATCTTTGCTTATTAGAGTAATGCAATTATTATCTGTTTTCAGGTTCTAGAAGAAAAAGAAAAATATTTTCACACATTTTCTGGTTATATCACTGTTTGAGAGAGATTCTGACTCATATTTGGTTTTAATAATTAATTTTGGTTCACCCAGCACAACACCAAACTGTGCCATGAGACTATAAAATGTATACATGAGCCTTATCTCAGCTACCCAGCATTCATAGCAACAACTGTGTATGTGGCTGGGATCAATACTGCCAGCACGAACATCCCCCTGTTTGTTTATCCTAGGCATTCAATACGAACAGCTGGGGATGTTTGTTTTTATCTTGTTTGGTTCAGCCTTTTGCTGGATCCAGAGATTTTCTGATACATCTCACAGCAATATTGTCTTTCTGAAAGCGCAACCCTGGAGCGACAAGGACACATCTGACTGAATGCAGAGGGAGGCAGTCTGCATCTGATGCATTCATGGAGATCAGAGTACAAGGGAGCTCATACTTCACCAAGTGAGTAGTATCTCCTCGGGATCTGGGAGTCTGGGTAGATGTTCTCTAGATACCAGGAAAACGGTTTGCACTTCAAGGCCTCGCGAAGGTCTCTGCGGGAGGAAACGTCTCCGTAGTCCACACGCATCACGCCTGCAGACAAAATGCCAAGACAAGGATTCAAATATATGCAATACTGAACATCATTAACCAGCGTTAACCTTAGTATTTACGTGTTTTGTCACGATTATAATTCTGAAAGAGAAAAATAATCCCGTTTTCTTGCACCACCTCGACTAAACACCAGAGGGACCCTTTATTAAAACCTTGCAAACGTACCTGAAAATACTGGCTGTGTGGGTGGACATGGCAGCATTTTCTACTGAGTAACACATCACAACCTACAGTAATTGCTGCTAAGAGGGCTTGTGAGGAAGTCAAACCCTATTTATACACCATTTTTCTAAAAGCACGTTCTTCAGATATGCAGAAAAAATGCAATTGTGGAATACTGTCTGTCATGATGTATGCAAAAATGAAGATTGCATTATGCGTCAGCCCTGATACAACAGAAGACTAAATAATGATTAGGTTACAAACACATTAAGCAGATGGTTTCTCCCCAGAGTGCTTCTTGAGGACTCATAGCTTGCATGTAGACAGACACGGATGGTTATTTATCATGAAAGAGTGTGATTGCGATATGACAGAACACGATAGTAAACAACAACCGTCATGTTAAGACTTACAGTTTGTTTATCCGTCAAACAGGAGCCTGACAATGCAAACAGCACCTTCTGTCACACTAACAAGGTGTTCCACTTTAATCTGGGAAATAGACATTTCAAGGCGGCAGATAAAAGCGAAAACCTGAAGGCCACTCTTCCTCCCCTGCCTCTCAATTTATTCTCTGTGTAGGGTCTGAACCTCACATGTTGCAGATGATGAATAGCCTCTCTGATCTTTAAATCACCAGTGCCGAGGAGGGAGATGCACTTTTAATAGAAGCGCTAAATTTGCCACTCCCAAACTCAGCCTGAGCAACATACTGTGTTCCTCTGTGCCAATAAGGGAGGTCTGGCAGCAGCGTGGCCCAGATCATTCTCCCTAATGTCCTGGAGGAACAGACGGTCATTGTGGGGCCACAACAAGCGGAAAGACTCATCCATCACAACCTCTCTCTCTCTGCACACCTGACTGTAGGAGAGTCCAGCGACTGTGTGGAGGAGGAAGTCACAGTTTGAGCTATCAGATCGGCAGATTATAGATGATCCCTTATAGGTTGTCTGGCATCTCAAACTCTTGACCAGAGATTTCCGGGACACCGCAAGCTCCTAAAGGGTAATCACATTACTAAGTCGACAGATGGAAGGGTACTCATCTTTTAATCTGCACCCTCCTATTGTTCTGGTTGGATATGTGAGAGAGAAGTCTGTGTTGGATAGGAGAGCCTCTATGACAAACTCCAGTTTAGAGGAGCACTCAAAAATGTGTCAGAAGGAGGAATTAATTCATCTTATTTTGGATAGGACAAAAGCAGCAATAAACTCAATGTGAGCCAGAGTAAAAGGAGACCTATAAATTCTTAAATGAGCCAGATAAAAAAGCAAGAAAATGGAAGAATAAAAGAGAGCAAAAACGACTTTCCTTTTCGCACCAATTTGCTAAATGTAATATCTGTGAGCATGCGAGAAGTAAAGAGGGGTTGGTAATGAGGATTGTTCATATCTGTGTCTGCACAGCAGTGTGCAATGAATAAAACATCTATTAAATCCCTGGATGAACTATACATTCCCTAAAACTTTTAAATCATACAGAATTCCTGCCAGTTCAGTTAAATCATCCACTGAATAGTCAGTCTCCTGCCCATATCTGTGATCTGCTAACTCCCTCTCAGCATAATCAGGGCTTTGGTAAGGCCGTACCAACCGTTAGAAAAATCTCCACTTTGCCCTAAAGGTTACCGGGCCTCTGCTCTCCGGCCCCTCAACTGTGGAGCTTCCTATCTGAGCCTTCAGACCATCTTATTTAGTGACCTCTTTTACAGTAAACCTCGTCTTACAATTGTTGGTTTTCTTCTTAACTGATGGTATTTCAACAATTGTATCATGTTTTATATCTTGTACATGTTTTGGTTACTGATTAGCAGTGGTGGGAGAAGTATTTTTTAAATCTCATTTTAGTAAAAAGGTACAAAAGTATAAGCATCAAAATATACTTGTAATAAGAAGTATCATAATGCAGAATGGCCCATTTTAGAATCAAATGTACTATTTTATTGGATTATAATTATTGAAGCATTAATGTGCTCACACTTTAGTTTTGCAGCTCAGAAAGGTGGAGCTAACTTCAATGTATTTATATACAGCTTGGTATAAACATACAATATGTTATTTGTTGATAATGTTAAGCATTACGGTAGTTATCTGTTATAAGTAAAGTAACTGATGTAAAAAATGCATGTAGTGGAGTATAAGTAAGAGAAATACTTAAGTAAAGTTACTCAAATTTCTACTTAAAGTGGACCTATCATGCTATATTTGAATAATATAGTGTAGGACCATACCTATATAAGGCATATTTATACTTTTTTTTTTTCAAAATACCAAACAGATCATGCATTTTAGCCATGCCTCATTTTGCTCAATTTGACAATTTTTAGCTCTGTTTTTGCAAGGGCAGATTCTGTCAGAACAGCACCATCTACTGGCCTGGCATATGTACTACAGCGTCTCCAGCGCTTTCGAACGGCAATGGCCGTGGCTGTCTCCTCCTGATTGGTGGAGTTGGCCCAATAGCCGTAGCGCCACTGTCCTGACGTCAGGACAGTGTTCAAATCTGGATCAGTTTTTATCAGATCCGTTGCAGCCCCTTTTTTAGAGATTTGGGTATGGAGGAAAATAGAGAGGGTTGTGTTTTCTGACACTTGGTGAGTTCCCTGGAACACCGGGGACACATATTCATGTATAAAAGACGTACAAAAGTGCATTTTGCATGATAGGTCCCCTTTAAGTACAGTACTTTTTTTATTGTCACTAGTGGTGATCATAAGTAAAGTTATTATTACTACTATTTCAGTGGCACATGCACTCAGACACTGGCTCCACTGCTCTGTACCTGGCGATATGATGTAGAAGAAATCTTTGAAATCATCCATCCATACTTCAGCCAGGCGCCTGTTGTTCTTGTTGATGACTTGGCCCGTTCCTCCGGGAAAACTGTATGGGGTGGCCTTCCGGAAAACATGGCCCACGTGTGAACATGTTACAATTTCTAATGAGCCCCCGCACTGCCAGATCTGCAGACAAACACACACAGTGTATTTTTATACAGCCCGTAGCAGGAAAGCAGACAGATACATTCACATTAATTATGCAGGCAAGCAAGGAAACAAGAGACCATATTATTCCCAAATATCTAGATTTCATGGTCTTACTTATTCAACATTTACTAATAATACTAGATGTGTTTCAAATGTGGAACTAATAAAGAAAGAAAAACGAAACAAAGCATAAAATAAAATATTTGAATATAAGATTTGGGCTATTAATAATAAACATTTAAAATAAACTTAAAATATCATTTTTTTGTTCTATTTAGAGAGGTAAGGAAATCTCATTTAACTAAACATGCATTTCCAGGATTCCTCTTTCCTTGCATATTTTTCTTGAATCTTTCTCTTGAATCTTAAGTGGAAAGATGCCGTTGAGGGAAACGTGGATACAATAAAGGGAGTTTGTTGACATGAATGCACTCTGGTGACATGATAACATCGAGATAGCATCCTCCCAGGTCTGTCACTCACTCTGAAAGACATTTCCAGGTTCTCTCCGCCCCAGATATCCATCCCTGGATCGTAGCTTCCTATTTCTTCAAAGTATGTTTTGTATATACAGAATAATCCTCCTGCCATGGTGGGAGTCCTGCGAGAAAAACAAAAACAACAATTATGCAATATTGCCTCACTTTGTGCTCTATTTATTAGTACCTCAGTGCAACTCAGAGGACCGTTATGAATGAACAAAAAAACAATTTGTTTGACAAACGGAAACAAAGCCTGAGAGGGGTAATTACTTGTATCTCTTAATTCATTATATGTTAAAGTCAACCCCTAATTAAATATATTGTTTGTTGCTGTGGGTGGTTTGCATGCAAATTACAAAGTGTGCCTAGCTTTGTGTAACCAAAAAAAGTCAGTTTTGTTTTTCTATTTTTAAAATAAATGAGCTCACACATACTTCAAGAGAGTACAACTATCAGGATGCTAGTGGGATACACAAAGGAAAAATATCTATTTCTATATCTGCAGGATAAAAATGGTACAAGAGGTGTTTGTGTGAAGAAATCTAACCATCCATGTCTTCTCTGTAGCCTGCTGCTGTCACAGATAAACCCACACTTAGAAAAGGTGAAGAGACACTTTTCTGTGTGATTGGACCTCCTCTCTCTTAATTGTTAATCAAAATACAACAAACAAGTAGAAAGTCAGACGTACATTTCCCAGATAAATGATCTAGACTTAGCTTCAAAGATTAAAGTTTTCTTTGTGTACCTGACAGGCAGTGTTCTGTCCCCCTTGCGCCGGTCCATCTCCCGCTGGGGAACAGGATACCAGCGGAAATTCAGCTTCCAGTTGAATCCACCATAGGTCATATCTGAGCCTGCCATGTATTCAAACGTCTCGTCGCTGATGACATCGATGATAGGGCACACCACTGCTGTCCTGAAAGACACCAGAAATACAGTGTAAGATTTAAAGCTGAGATAAATGATATCGTAAAAGCGGAGTAGAAAAATAGGATAAACGTAACAAAAGAAAACCAACTGAGTAATGGTTGGTCTGTTCAAAACAAAAGGGAAGCCACATGCTGTTCCCACCAGGCTCTTTATTGATTATTCCACAGATTTGCTTAAACCAACAAAAGTAGTAATGGCAACATTAAAATAGTTTCAAAATATTGAATGTCAATTATCTCAGACAAAGGTAAAGTAAGCTATTACTAGTGTAGGAGTAACGTTACCACTAGTTTTGTTATGAAGTAATGTTTAACAGTGTATTATGCTATAGTCTAGGTTGGACACTGGCAAAAAGTTATTATATAAAAGTAAACTGCAATGTCTTTCCTTTATCATAGATCATATGACCATTAAAAAGGTCTAACGAGCACTGTTACTCATCTTTGCACAAGTGACCGGTTAATATATTGGCATTGAATTTCAAGTGTGATCGTGTCACGATAATGAGTATTTCTTCTGATGAAATGCACACCAATGAACAACAACCAATCGCATCTTGAATACTTTTGCAACATCTTGAAAGTGAATGTCAGATTTGGACAAAATGTTACCACAACAAACATGATGTCAATGTACTTAGGATCAACCAATAATCCTGCTGCAGTAAGCATATCAAATGTTCTGCTCTTCATGCGCCCTTTTTCTAAAGACATCAATACATCTGCAGCAGCATTCAGTAAAAGTGTAATGGCTCCATAATATAATTTTCTTAGTAATATGATTCTGGTTTCTTCCTCAGGGAAAATGAATGTGTCTGACCTCAGTTATGAGAGGAATCGCCACGAGAGTCGTTATCAACCCATCCATTCATGTCAATCTCACACACAGACACCGCAGATTCACCCTGTGTTGTTCTGAAAATATATAACTTAACGTTCCGATAGCTAACAGCAGCTAAACATGTACGTGTCCACTATAACTTGGACTCTACCAGCGCATACTACCTCCTGATGTAGCCGTGTTAACAAAAGTATAAAGCTACAGTAATTGGAGCTAGCTTTTCCTCCGAGGCAGCAGCAGATGATGCAAAATGATTATCTTCCCCTATCAGCAGCGTCAGGCTCAAACTGTGTATTCATAATTGATGGTTTGCTGTCCCATCAATATTCAGACTGAGCTCAAGCACACCATGGTGCAACTGAAGTGAAATGTGATAATGGCCGTATTATTAAAGCATGTTTCAGGACTGAACAGGGAAAAGATTAGAGTCGCTCATAGAAACTGCCCCAGAAAAGTACACAACCCTACCTGTCTTCTTTGATGCGTGCCAGCAGGGGCTCCAGCCAGCCCACAGTACACTCGCAGTGAGCGTCCAGGAAGGTGATGACCTGACCTTTGGTAGCGGCCGCTCCCCTGAGCCTGGCTCTGATCAGACCTGAACGCTGCTCCATCCTCAGGATCCTCACCGGCACCTCCAGAGTGCGCACATAGTTCTCCAGCTTCTTCTTCAGGAAGTCTGAGAGAAAACAGACACAAAAAATATTTAATCAAGAGCAGATTAACGCAGACAGAGCTGAAGGAATAGGTTCATTTCTCTATGAGTCAATCAACTGAAAAATGTATAAATTGAATTTGTGATTTTCAGAAATATTGTTGACAAAAATGCCAAAACATTCCCCGGTTAAGGATTCTGAAATACTTGCTAGTTTGAACTGCTTTTTGAAACAAGTAAATCTATCATTACGATCCCTATTTTCTGGTATATGTTGGACAAAATGGTTAATATATATCCTTTATTTAACCAGGTAAAGATTAAGCTAATAATCTGAATATATAATAGGCTGATTAATCCCAAACAAAAACAGTTGTTATTTGATACTACATTTTGATCAGATCGGTCTATTTATTGTCACCACAGCTTTTTATAGTAGTAAAACATATATAGTGTTAATTGTTTCTTATATTAAGAGTTTGGTGGTATATTCAGTTTTGTTTTACCAGTATCCTTGACTACAGAGTTAAATATGTGACTTTAGCAGATACTGTATCAGACAGTAACTAGTAGAGTGTAGATTACCAACCTCGCTCGCTGGCGTCGTCCACAAGCACGATCTCCGCCAGCAGCTGTCTGGGCGAGCGGTTGATGACACTGTGAACCGTCCGCAGCAGGGTGCTCCACGCCTCGTTGTGAAACACGATGACAATGCTGGTGTTCGGCAGGTCATCTGGGTACAGCTTGGTTTTACAGCTGAGGAAGCAACAGAAAGAAAAGTAAATCAGTTTAAGTGAACATGTTGAGAATTTTACATCACTGAAATAATTTCCTGTAGTATGCTGCCTAGAGTGCCACATTTCAAGACCCTGTAGAGTTTTAGGCAATGATATATATTGTATTTTTTAGTATTTTCTTTATATATGTAAATAAACTATAACCAGCAGGTTTGAAGGGGGATGCCACACCCCTTGTTATCAACATGACCAAAATGCATTGCTCTTGTTGCAGGGTGAGAGGGGCTGTTGAATATTTTAGTTTAGTCAGTCCCATCTCATTGATCCTATATCTGACTGAGGTTTTTGCAAGTTAGAATCCATGGCCCAGACTGTGGCTCTGAAACAACTTACTGTGCTGTGTATCGATAAATCCATGGAGCTGTCTGTGGTGCTGAAGTAGTAGAGGGATTAACCTAACCTTAATTAACCTAGGATAAACCTAAAATATACCCGTTCTGAATTTGTTAGTCTAAGACAACACTGCTGTTTCCAAACTGCAGTCACAGTGGTTCTTTATACCCGCAGCTCTGTATTCTATGAAAAGTGAGTGAGAATCTGAAGGTTTCCTGCCCTATCCAATGCTGCCATCAGTGCAAAAATCTTGTCATAGGAGATTCACTGACAAATATCTCTAAGTGGTAGAAAAAGTCAAACCTTTGTTGACAGCAATGTCAGCAGATCCTCATCTTGATGGGTTGTCTGTCAAAGCTTTAGAGTGAAAATGTTTTGAACTTGGGACGGCACAGAAGTGGATGATGTTGAATAAAGAAGTACAGAAGTGGAAAAAGTGGACTGCCAGGACAGGAGGAGGGTAGTGGGAGGTGACGGAGGGTGAAAGAAGCCATCGGAGCAGACAAAATTTCTAGCTCAGTCCTGTCGAATCAAAGTGACAGCGTAGACTGACACAACTAGGCCAGGAGGGTGCCTTCAAGGCATAATGTTATCGCCGTTCAGACGCAACGACTGCCAACTCCGGATCATTTTCACCACACACCTGGAGACATTTTGCAAAGCCAAGCTGAGTTCTGTAATAAACCTGCTGTAAAATGTATACTGAGTGAAGGATGGAGCCATAATGGACAGAAAAAAAGTGTTGCAATAAGCTGAGTGTTCACCTTTTCTCAGTAAATGAGGTCTTCTTTTGCTAGACGCAAGCAAGCATATTTGCATCTCCACTCCATCTTATAATTTGTGTTTTCTTGGTTAGACAAGAATTGCATTAAAAACTGTGGAACTGTGAGAAAAAATCAAATGTTGTGGCTTGCTTTTCATGGTGTTTCTAACTGGCAGAGCCTTTTGCATTCACTTAATAAAAGTGCTGAGGAGAACTGGTGTTCACTTGGAATATTTGAACATGAATGACTCGGATAATGTCTCTACGAGAGGCGAATGACGCTGCATATCATCAGCCCGAGATGAATGGGCTCATGTTTCAAACAAATTACTCCCTGGATTTTCATTAAGTGCTCAAGTGGATCTAGAGTGACAGTAAACAGTCCAATTCAAATGTCAGACATAATGGTCAAACCTGAGGGATCTGATGGACTCTGCATTGAAACAGTGCCCATAATTAGAGATGCCTATCCACATTAGATAGAGTTATTAACACCAATAACATCTAATAGAAAAACAGTTTAAGTTGAATTATTTAATCATTAGAATAACATTGTTTTGATAGTTTAGAGCATTTTATCTGCATCACTGGAGAGACTCTTGATCAGAGACAGATCCCTGCACTTGTCTGAATACTGAACAATTTCCATTTAACCTGGAATACAACTCTGCCCACATTAAAGACTCAAATCCAAAGAAATAAGAAGAAAAAAGCAGAAAGTATCAGTCAGAAACGACTCTGCCTTGCAATGGGTAACAAAGGAACAATGATTGCAGGAAGCGAAGAAGCGCGCGTGCGTGCGCGTGCGCGTGCGTGTGGATTTGAAAGTGTCAGTAGTTGTGTTTGCAAAATGGATCTGGAAGGCTAGCTTACGCACCCGTCCAGCCTCACGTCAGGCAGACTCCTGTTGAGTGCGATCATGTCGCTGGCCATCAGGTTGAACTGGTTAATCTTAAAGAGCTCCTTCATTTTCTCCTGGTCGTTCTTGGGAATGTTTACTGCCTTGCCCATTTCGCCCGGTCCCTCGTGGCTCCGAGATATCGCCGCTGTAACAAAGCAGAAGCACAGCAAAAGGATATCTGATGAGAAACCAAACCCTTTGTTTGTAATAAATCACTTTGTCCTGTATATACAGTCTATCTTTGATAAGGAAACAATCTGAGAAGAACCAATATGTTGTGAAAGCCCACTTTATTACAAAGGCTCCACATCTCCTGTGTAAATGGGGCTCTGAGTAATAAGTACTGACTGACCTCCCTGACCACAGGCTGTTGGCAGAGCGCCCGGTTCAGACCAGTGGAGAGAAAAGTTGTTGTGGTTTTTCAAGAACTTGTGTTTGGTTGTCCTCGACAAAAAGCACCACATAAAATCTTAGTCAACGAAGACCGAAAAAGCATCCATAGACTCAAAGAAGGAAAATTGAATCAATAGATTATAAATACAGTAGTGTTTTTGACTACAAATTAAGATTTCATAAATAAAATGAGAAGGAGAATTATCAATATCTGCTGGGTAAAAAGCAAGTCTCTAATCTTGCCTCACCTAAATTGGTCCATGAAAAAAGGGAATGACCTACAGATACATTCTGAGAAATCCCTTTTATATTGAAAGCATTGGGCATGGTTTATTATCGGTCTCTTTAGGCTCGGGCGAGTGCAGTAAAGCCTGCTAGCTCTATCTCTGTACACTTTGTACATTGTAATTTTCTATACTGGTAAAAAGACAGAGCATAGAGCTTATTTCCTAGATCAATGTGCGTGCACCAAACCCATGTGTTCATTCATGTACTGCAGCATGTACTGTATGCAGGATGTGCACATAATATGAACATCGTATTCCTTTCAATAACACTTAGACATTTTCCCAATAGAAAACATGATGCCATTCTCCCCTGTATTGTTAGGCTTTCTCACACATCATCGACTGTGTGAAAAATGTGTAATCGAAATGTATGCTTAATCTCTTTTCTGGTATATTGTGCAGTCTAGCAGTACTATTAGATTTAATGCCATCTGTAAAAAGAGATTATACATTTGCAGATCTAGTTTAACATATTTAATGAAAAAGAAAGAAACACATCTTTCAGGAGTTTCTACTAGTCGACTTGCTACAGTATATGCTATATGATCATGCGTGAAAAACATCAGCATTGCTGTGGTTTGCTGCTGCTCAGAGCCAGCTCCCGTCACCAAGGTAAAAAGCCTCCCACGGATTTATGACTGTGCTCTCTTTAATAATCTCTTAGAGCTGAAGCAATGATTTCCATGGTCCCAGGTTAAGAGGATTCCCTAAGACCTCTCGTGGAGACGGCCGGATTGTAAACCCTCTTCTAATCCTGCTCTTTTGTTTATGGTGCTGCCGACATTCTCCGTTTGGAAACGGGCTTAAATCTGATGGACACAGCTCGAGCTCTGAGCTGGATGATTGAACAAAGTGTCCATCAAACACATGCTCGGCCTCTCCAATCCATCAGGCTATAGCTACAGATACACACAACATGTGAATGTTACAAATGTACTCTAAATCTTACAAGCAAAATCATCCCCTTTACAATTATTGCTTTCACCACAAATCCTAATTCGATGTGTTAACTTATTTTGTGAATTTGTAGAAGACAGTACTTGTGCCTTAAAATTACAGAGGAAAACAATTTCCACTATGGCTTCATATCTGGTGTACAAATTAACTTCATTACTAAGACATGTCGGAAAACATTCTATTTTAACCTACTGATAAAACCAAATGTGATACATGTAACAGTCAAATGTAACATGTTTGCCATTTATGCTGCTAACTGACAACATATTAACGCTGCACAAGGCAACACATTCTTTTTCTTGTAAAAGCTTATAATGATACTTATTTTTGCCAGTGTTCTGTACTTATTTCGTTTTTTTAACACATTGACGCATCTTTGTAAAATGTTAGTCTAATTATTTCATTTTTTGCCTTGCATCTGCCATGTCCCCTTGCTGTCATAACACTGTAAATGACCCTGCTGTGGGACAAAATAAAGAATATCTGTTTATGACTCTAATTATTAAATCCCGTCTGAAATAACAGAGTAGCTTAGCTCCCTCATTATGACTGTGAATGACTATTCATACCCTCAGCACTTTCTACATCTGTGAAATGATACAAACAGTAGGATGAAATATAAAGACTAAAACACATGGATCAGAGGAGCCTTGGGAAACAAACTCTCTGTGGTATTTTCAAGCCAGACGCAGTATCCTCCCGACACAGATCATTCATTATGAAAGAAGACCTGGATCATCTGTGAAGAAAACAGAAGCTCTTTCTGTCCTTGGGTCATTCAATCCAATTCAATGTCCCTGCCTACAGCTTTATCCCAAGCAATTACACTGAAAAGGTTCTCCTCACGCTCACAGGTAATGAGACTTCTGAGACACAATCACTCACATTTTAGCGCAGAACAAAAATAGAGTGCTACATGACTCTCTGTTAACCTTTGCTTTATGTGATTCATCAGATTGTTATTCTCACAGATTAGCAAAACATGTGCAACTCTAGACTCTCCGGCCAACATTAGCAAGTTACAACAAGTTAGCTTTCTCTTTTCTTTATCTTGTGAGAGATTAATCTTGTCAAGGTGGACTCAGACCTGTCCTCTAGCGCTTTTTATCATCATTTGCTTCCAACAAAAAGTAATGGTGCACAGTTTCTCCATCAAAAGCTTGATCCATTTTATTTTTCCTTCACATTTTACCTCACCTCTTCCCTCTGCTGATCTGCTCCGCTCTCTTCTTTCCAGTCTGATGTGGCTGACATTACGTTATATATCAGAAAACCATAGCAGGACAGGGACAAAATGTCAAGAGACCATGCTGCTCTGATGCACACCTTCACCTTAACTGCAACTAAGACTGGGAAATATGTGAATATATTATCAATATTGTGATATTGGGTTAGATATTGTCTTCATAAACATTTATTCAACTGCTCCTTTCAATCATAAATCACAAAACTGTGAAAAGTTACTGTAAATATTACCAGTAGAAGTCTAATCAATTCTCACAGTGGCTGTAGCTGTCTGAGGGCAAATCTCAGACTGATGTGATATACAGTTAGAACTGCTAAATTGAACAATCCTGTTACAAGAGAGCACAAAACAAATACAGTTTTATCATTCTCAGAAGATTAAGACCATAATGAAAATCCAAACCCACCAACACCAAGACAGACCAACAAGAAAATGTAGTACGGTAGGTGATTTTTTCTAAAGCTGTGTCTATTAAAAGGGACCCTGATGTGTTTTGCATTATAGCATTTGTCGTTCTGTGGAGAGCACTAACAGCGTGAGAAAATAACAATTTGATCGGTCTCTCAGGAGTCAACCAAGTTTATGAGTGTGCAATACTAAATGAGTTACAATGTGGTGCAGAAAGAACAGAGAACTGAATATATTGATGCAGCAGACAAGAACCTGTTGTTACCTGGCAGCATCATTTCCTTTAAGTTAAAAAGCAGCACGACTCCAAATGATTTTACCCTAGTATGTCAAGCAAACTTAAAACCTTACATAAACATGAAGGGTAGGAGCAACTGGCCATAAAGTTCCTTATAATCAAACTGAAAAACTCTGACGTTAGGTAAGGGGCGACTGCGCCAACAAGGAATTGAATGCATGCATTCCTTAAAGGGTCATTATCAACCTGGCAATGACCAGGGCCAGATCATTCACTACCCAAGCATTGATGTTATGGTAATTAGTGTTACCTAACAAAAACACTTAAGTTATAATCAATTTGGGATAAATTGATTCCAATCTCCTCTTGCACTTTTCTTGCATTTTATGCATTTGTACTGCTATGTTTATAATTTTCATTTTCTTAATGTTTTATGTGAGGGACTGCGGATGGAAAGTAGCTCAAAGCTAAATCCGGGAAAAAATGTACACTTGGCACACATTTCATGTTTTAAGTGTTCATTAATGTGCAATGTCCCTGCCAAATAAACGAATAAATAAAAATAAATAAAAATAAATAAATAAATCAAAGTAAATCGAGATGTATTGTCGTCAGTTCTGGGCTGAACAGGATTAAACTAGTAAACAACACATGGAATATTAAAGAAACCAGTGACACTCAGTTCATGTGTTAAGCAAATCATCAAATGGAAGGCGTTTGAAAGTAACACCAATGTACTTTGGACTTTGTTATGGTAATGTAATAAGTCTCAGTAGCTGGCAGGTCGCCTCATTCTAACCCTACAAGCAGCTTAGCAAACCTCTGAGCAACCTGCTTATGGCAGGGCATGTGAGGAAATGAACTCCTTAATAGGTAAGGTGGTTTAGTTTGATCTGGATACTCAACACTCAACTCAAACGTACACATGGAGATCACTTCAAGGTTGCCGAGCATACAGGAAAACAAACTAGATTTTTAGATAATCCTGCATTTATGGAATAAATGAATCTCTCCAGGTTATATCTACAAGATTGTTTGATGCCAAACCATATTTGTATTCTTAAAAGATCAAAAAAGCAGAAAAAATAAGTTAGTTTTAAAAAATGTAACTAATCAGTTAGTTTGTTGTTAGTTATTTCGTTTTTTTTGGTCCCCACTCTAATAAACTGGAGTTACACAAATTCACCCAAGTTACAAACTATCCTAACTTCTACCAGGAATAAACGCAGATGTAAGATGTAATCTTAAAAGTAGGTTGTAAATGCAGATGCTGCCTCAAAAGCAAAATGTTTCTGTTTCCATTGAATAATCTGGATGCGTTTCGGTTATAGTCCTAAAACATTATCTATTCTGGCTGCAAGCATCTGAAATAAAATTCATCAAAGCTCCATTGTAAATTAACATTATTGCTGGAAATATTGTCTCACTTAACCTTCTGCAAAACATACTCCATACTATTCACCAATGTACAAACCACAAATAAACTGGACTTCTTTTTATCCTTTGAGATCCCCCGAAAATGTTTTACATTTCTTCTGAGGAATCTTACAATTTCAACAAACCCTGAATAAACTGAATATTTCATAATCTATCTCCAAGTGTCTGCACTGTGAATGGAAGGTGTAGCAGGATATTTGTGGACTCACCTCGCAGGGCCGGGAGCAGCGAGCGGTCTTTCCTGTCATCACATTTGTTACACTCGCTGAAATAGAGCAGCAAGAACACATCCACCAGCACCCACACTAGAGAGGTGGTCAGCACCACCTTACAGTAGAGAAACCGTCGCATAACCTCCCCGGGACGTCAGCCAGGAGAGCCGAACAAGGGTCGCAGCGAGCACTCAGGAGCACTAGGACTGCTGACGGAGCGTTTGAACTCTGGAGACGGGGTGTGGAAACAGGGAGGAGACGGAGCAGGTCTGACCGAGAGGCGTCATCCTGCAGAAGAGAGCAAACATTCAATCAGAAGCTGTTCTCCTAAATCCAATGACGACAGGAATCATGATCATAATTTGAGTCTCCTGGCTGTGATTCTGGATGTACATCATGACGCTCTAAAACAATCAACGCAGGCAGAAACAGGAAGTCAGCAGAATCTGTGAGCGACCACATTTAAAGTGGATCAATATTCGTCTCTTGAAAAAGTGATTAGTAATCACTTCCTCTCAGACTTCACATTAATGCAATTCATAGGTATACACAATCAGATGAGATTACAAAGCATTTTCCTATTTTATTTTTTTATATTTGTAGTTTAGTGGAATATAACATTACACAAAAACGTTAAATAGATAAGACATACCAAAACAGTATACAGTGTTTTACAGAACAAAACAAAGGGAATGAGTAAGATTTACAGTAATACAGATGTGCAGTTTGATTTACAATTTTGGGGAATAACAAATAATATTTGTATACATGTGAGGCAAGAGGACAAAAGAAAGGAGACAGAAGGATATAAAGTGAAAAGAAAAGCGTATACAGAGTAGCAGGTAGGCCTAATCTAAACTGTTTCATTAAAGCAGATACTATACCAGATACTAAATTGAGAGTTTAAAAAATCTCATAATGGGGTGCACCGCTGGTTTAGGGATTAAGGGTTAAATTATGTTTGTTTGATCCCAGATTGGCCAGATGGGACAGCTCCACATTGAAAACAGTTGCTCTCACTGTGTCATCAGAAAATTCTGCATTTGCAGATTCATCAAATCACTGTGTGGGCCAACTCAGTTTGTAGTGCCAGCGCAATCCCTGACATCAAGTTTCCTGCATACAAATTATCCCAGTGAGTTCCACTGCAGAGAGGTAAACTGAATTTTGTTTCTATTTTAGGAAAAAGCAAAACAGAAATAGGAATCAGCAGATAACCTGAGTTGAGGTATCAGAATCATATCAGGAGGTGAAGAGGTCGGATCAATGCATCATAGTTGTAACCAAGATGTAAGAAGGGCATTTTACAATTGAAAGTGTACGCAGTGGAATCCCTGTTTAAAGCTCACACAGTTTGGCATGTACTGCAGTTTATGTCCATTATTGCTCCACAACACCAGTTCCTATGTGCTAAAATAGAATCATATTGGGTAATGTACTGGCCCAGAATATTTACCAGTAAAGCTCTAACACACACCTACTTGATAATAATATTGATAATAATAATGCCAACTTGAGTTTGTAAAGGTTTGCACTCCAGAAGAGCAGCTATGAGTGGGGTCCACCCAAGGTTTCATTTCTCCTTTTTTTTCCTTTCATAGATTTATTTCATAGTTACTGTTTGCCTTTATTTTAAAAAGGGGGTTAATGGGTGTCATTGCCTTTGGTCATTTTCACGAGGGGGATGGTCCATTGGAGTACACACCCAACTGCCCCCCAAGCCCTCCACATTTTCCATTTGAAAGGATGAGCGAATGCTCATTTCCCCCTTTGCAGACTTCTCCCACTTCATCAGTAGAGCTGCTCGGACCATCTGGGAAGCTTTCACACCAGAGGCAGTTTGTGGAGTCTAGATATCTCATTGGTGTGGAATGTATGCCTCACAATATTTCTGATGAAAAACAACACCATTTTCTGTCAAACAGGATTTGTACTTGAATGAAATGATAGGGTTTTGTTGACTGAAATCCAAAGCTTATGAAAGTACAATCAGAATGGAAGTGGAATGAGGGGGGAGAAATGCATTCAGCCATAGAAATCAAACGCACAAATACCCAGTAGCCTTTTAGGCATTCATAACAGAACTTTAGGCTACAATATACATCACACAGTGGTAGGCACTAAAGCCAAGCCCCTGCACAGGCTCAAAATGTAACTTATATTTGATTGAAATAGGTTTTTGCATACGAGTGTGCACTTATTTGCAAATGCATTAATGTATAGCAACTTTTGCCAATGTCCAACTAGTGAAAAAATGCCTGCAGCATATTTTGTGGGAATCTAATGGATTCCCTTATCTTTCTCATACAGAGTGGTAATGGTTTTGCACTCAGAACGCACACATTGACCTCTCCGCTCACTGTCTAAATGTCCATCACAGGGTCTGACACCACTGCCCTGGGCTTACTCTTATCTCATTCAAAAACAAGGCAGTGTGCGTACGGCTGCATTAAAGATGTCAGACAGAATTCACACAATATTTACTGACTCCTAACCCGAGTAGGTGGACGCAATCTACACTTCCAGTTAATGAGTGTATTCAAGAAAGAAAACGTCTCAGTAAAACTCTGCTGAAATCCGAGTCTGTGTGTAGCATATCACCTCCTCTCACATGGTAGACAGATCATTGATGATTCGGTGTGATTCTGTCTGTTTGCATCTCTAACCATCTGCTTTAGTGTGTCAATGACATAGACATGTTTGGGTTTGGTACCACCAACTGCGCTGCCAGCAGCTTGCTAGAGTCTCGTCCGAAGAAGTCTGAGTCAATTAGTCCGACCATCTGCACAGAGGAATATTTCTTCTCTGCTTTACACCTCTAAAAACAGGTCCCTCATGTCTTGACAAGCCACTTTTCCAGTATATTCAAGGCAAGTGTTATCCACCGGGCATTAATTGCTTTGTGAAGTGACAGTTAATTGTGCCGTTAGCAACTCCTTTTGTTGTGAAATGTCTGTCGCAGGCCTATGAGCTAAATCACAGATTCCTCCTTCAATCAATAGGAGTGCTTGTACTGTATGCAAATGCAAGACTGTTAACTAATTGGTGTCCAAAGCAATACAACTGAACTTGACTCTGGTACCATGGCAGTAATATGAGCAGCACACGTTTGAAGACAAAGCTGGAAGAAAAGACATCAGCCATAACGCAAAATAGCTTTCGGCTGTGGATAATTAAGGGATGGACTTGCTCATGGGTACTTCAGAGGATGGTAGGGATTCAAACCTGCTATCACCAGCATTTTTAGTGTCCCAAGCAGAAAGTGTAGCTGAGTCAGACATCAATACTTTTTGAGTGCAGTACAAACTGCACCAAGTGGCATTAAGAACTGAAAACTGTCAAGACTTAAAATATGGCATTGACTGATCAGTCAACATATATATATATATATACATACATACATACATACATACATACATACATACATACATACATACATACATACATACATACATACATACATACATACATACATACATACATACATATATATATATACATATACATATACATATACATATACATACACACACACATATATATACACGTCTATGCATTAAAAGAAAACAAAATAAATACTGATATTTTCACATATTTTAGTACAGATAGCATGACAATACTATAAATAGTAATACTATAAATAGTATCGTTATGTTATTTGTACTAATATCAGGTATCATATTTTCATTGAGTACCATTATTGAAAAATGCAAATCTGCACCCAGCACTACAAGGCACAGCCGGTGATTACAGAGCTGATCCCAATAAGCCCATTAGGCCAATGACTGCTACCTCTATAACCTAAACAAGACAAAAAAAGAACACATTTACCACTGTGTTGGTTTAGTACGTTTGACGTAGGCTATGGGCTATACCCACACAGACTATGACCATACCTCACGCTTACATGCACGTTAGCCTATATAATGATTATTACAATCAATGTTGCATGTGACAGAAATGAGATGGAAAAACTGCAGTTTCAAATGACAAAGAACATATTCTCACTGATACAGAGCATGGTAACCTTGATTGTATTTAATGCATAGTTATAGGTTAAGCACCATCAATACATCTACTCCACGATATTTGTGCCCTATGGGAGGTGGTGGTGATAGAAAATGATGATACTCTGTGCTTACCTAAATTATGGATGGAGTGAACCAGTGACCTGTTCCAGGCTCGCTCTCAGGCAACGTGTTGAACGCAGACAACATGACCCAATATACAACAGCACTTAATGGCCAAATTCAACTGCGTAAATGGCTCTTGCACACTGACATCTCGAAACGGCCACTAACTACAGTCCATCTCAGTAAAGAGTAGTCCACAATGCAGTGTGATGGTTTCCATAGGCTAAAGCCTCCCGTGGTACCTGTTTGGACTCCCTGATATGATCTGTCCCTAGTTGAGCCGCAGTAAACCGGCGAACACGACCAGTCTCCATTAATCTTCCCAACGCGTTTCAACGCTGATGCGGTCAATGCAACGTAACGTCTTGGTACGCACCTGTTCTCTGACTGAATAATATAGCAGTAACAGCACAGGCGAGATGATATTCAGCACAATCTAACCTCAGCTCAGACCGACCTTCAGAGAGCCGCGTCTCTGCTCTCTGATTGGCTAAAAGCGACGTCGCTCATGAAATCCTCTCCAAGTGGACTGTCACGGGCGTCTGGTTAATGTAGGCGCACCCAGCGACCACCGCATACAGCATCTATCACAAAATGTGTAGTTTTTCTGTATACAATTATATATTTGTTATAATGTTACGCTGATTATGTCCATTTAGATGTGCAGTGAATTGAATGTAATTATGGTTTGTGTATTGGGGGGAAACCTTCAGTACAGTTATGTTTAAGTTGTTGTTTTTTGGTTTGTAAAATACACACTTTATTGATACTATCGATGACTCAAAACTCTGTTTCAATTGATTTAGGCATGTTATAGCTTTAAGGACATATTTAGCTTTAGGTTTAACTTTTTGTATGATTAATAACATCCATGAATCTAGTAATTAAAATAATCCTAATGTTTCTCAAGTATATTTGTATTGTCATTTATCTGTGATTAACTATTCTCACTAAAACACTAACCCAAAGGACTACAATACAAATAATGTACTATGTTTTATCCTTTGGACAAATATTCTCCTATACAAATCATTTCATACATTTCTTTCAGTTCTTGCTAGTGTTTTGAGCTCAATAGGACTGTCTGATAAAAAATAAGTGAAATAAAATAAACGTAAATACAAAAACAGTATTCTGTAAAGTTATTCACATTCAGGTTAAATCAACACCACAGTAGGGCCTACACGTTTCGCAAATGAAACCGTGTTTTACACTGCAGCTTTTTATGGCAGCCCTTGGGGAAATCGTGTTGAGCATTGCTGCCATCTGCTGTTTATGATGAGAGTTGAATCAGTAGTGTTCAGCAGTCTATGATAACTCTGATGTCCTTTCAAAAGTACTGTCAAAAACTGTAGATTCACCTTTTAAATAAAGCTCTAATGTATATATAATTGTAAACAACTATATTACTAAAGCTGAGATGTACAATGTGGTAAATTCACTGTACATTAGACTAACATTCATAATTGCATGTATGGTATGTTCACACCTGACTCAAACAGCGACGTCAGGGACGCGGGAAGGGGGGGGGGGGGTGCTGAGGGGGCTGCAGCACCCACATCTGTTGGTGGAGAGTTGTAACGGCAACGCCAAAAAGTTCACTAAACAAATCAATACAAAAGTTTTATTTTGAGTTTTTGAGTTAGCATTTTAGTGTAAGCAGTCTATACAAAGCTTCACTATAAGAGAAAGTGATAATGCGGTGTGCTTCTTCTGTTGCTATAGAAAAGAAGCTCGTCAGTGCAGACAAGATCAGGGATGGGAGTTTTGTAAAAGCAGGATTTAACAACTGGCGAAAGGCAGGGGAAACATTTAGGGAGCATGAGAAGTCCCATCAACACACAGGCCGTCAACAAACTGGCAGCATTAAAACGAACACCGATGAATGCACTGCTCTCACAAGCTGTTGCTAAAGACCAAATGACTGCATTTAATATGACGTTATTATACAGGGCCGCCTCTCCCTACACGCAGATCACGCAGACCCCTCGCGAATGGGGCCTCATTTTGCGGAGGGAGCCTCCTCTGAAGCGCAAACGCGGCGCACCTAGTGTAGCGCGCCACAGTTTCGTCGCTGCGAGGCTCCACTAGCACCACACCGCCACAACGCACGTCACTGGACTCAAAGCATCCACTAGATGTCAGTGGATGTCTTTGGTTTTCTCTTTGTTCTAGAGAGAGGGATGAACACTTTGTGTCATTGCTTTGTGCAGCTGGCTAGAACATTAGTTGAACAATATTAAATAATATATATTTTTGTTTTGCTGAAATACTGTCTGATGCTTACAACACATATCTAAAGAATGTCTTCAACCTCTGCTTGTTGGTCAGCTTTTGTTTTTGTGGCAGTAGTGAAGACAGAAGTTGTTCTCTTCTGACTTGACACAGTAGGAAAAGCACGGATGCAAATAATAAAAAATTAATCATCGCTGAATTATTTGTAGTTGCTTCCGTTAACTTTCAAGGTCCTAGTAAAGTGCTTCCTAACTGTCTTACTGGGACACAATAAACTACATATTGTTATTAATAAAACCTGTGTTTATAAGTTAAACAAATGAACACTTGAAAAAAAAGTAAGCCCTTGATGGGAGGCATTCACGTTGTTTTTTTGTCAAAATCCTGAAAGTGTACCAAAAAGTGTGATTGTGTTTTTTTCCAATTGTGCTACACAATGATTCAATAGCTAGAACAAGTAACAATAAACCAATACAAAAGATAAAAGCTAATTGATACTAAATAAAGTCTATAGATATTTGCAGATGTATTGTCCTATTAATGTATATCTAACACTGGTGACTTAGCATGAACACACACACACACACACACACACACACACACACACACACACACACACACACACACACACACACACACACACACACACACACACACACACACCACACACACACACACACACACACACACACACACACACACACACACACACACACACACACACACACACACACACACACACACACACACACACACACACACACACACACACACACACACACACACACACACACCTTATAACACAAACAGGACATAATGTACCTCATCAGTGGCGGCCGGTCCATAGGGGCGCTAGGGGCGCCGCCCCACCTCTTCCCATATTGAAAAAAAAATAAATAAATAATAATTAAAATTAAAATTAAAAAAAAAAAAAATATATGTTTAAAAAAAAATATATGTTTTTATTTTTATTTTTAATGAACAAGGTAAATATTATATAATTGGTATCAGTAAAATGTATAATCTACAATAAAATCTCGTTTAAAATTGTGTTACGATGTCTAAAGTTACTGATAAGTCACATGTTTCCTGCCTGGCCTTGCCCATGCACCTTCTCTCGTCTGGGCGCTAAGAGAGGAGCCTTCAACCAGTGCAGCAGCAGCCACCAGCAGCTGACTGTTGCTATCTGTAACGTGTAAACTATGCCGCGAAAATATAATTTCAGCCAATCAGCGTCGTCAAAGATGACGGTCACCGGGCGCCAATGTCAGCGCCCAGTGCAGTCTGTGAGTAGTTTGGACAGTGACTCGTATCCGGTTGACGCAGTAGTTGATGAGGATGGCTTCGTGTGCAGGTGGAGTCTCCGGACCTCGGTCCCCGCCTAATTCTGTTCAAGAGCTAATCTCCAATCCTTTCGAAAGGAGAAGTTTGGCAGATAAATTGTTGCTTAAAGACCTTGCACCGGACCAACCCGATTTGAATATATCGCAGCAATCTCGTGAAAAAGACAAAATGTATACACGAGGCTTCACAAGTAGCTGGTACACAAGAAAGGCTTGGCTAGCTGGATGCAAACAGGTAAATGCTGTCTTTTTGTTTCCCATGCTTGGATATCACTTTATATGTAGAGAGGAGGTTTCCCATGGTTGTTAGAAGTTTATTAATAAGTGGGCATTTATCACAGAAGTGATTGTTCTGTCTCCACGTTTGTTGCATTGTCTGTGATGTATTTTCCAACGGTTATAGCTCCTGTTCTGTCCCAGCAACACTACACGGTTTGCAGCTCCACCACATTTTTGGTTTATCTTCGGTGTCGCTTAAAATCTGCTTCCCATCGGACTAAAACCTCCACGTAATCTGAAGACAGATACTTGAAGTTATTTAAACCTTTTGCAAACTTTATGTTCTTTCTTGCTCTAGCCTTGCCAGTTACATTGTACATAACACATATATTATCATTATGCTAACTGGTTGTTCGTGTTAGACGATGTAGCTTTTTCATTTCTGAGTTATTGCTATATGTAAATAAGCCTGTTTGTAAATAATCCTCAGAGAAACAAAGAAAAAACACAATTTATGACATTTTGTGCTGTGGTTATTTTTTTTAAATTGCATTTATTCACAGTTCAGTTTGAAATGCTGTAGTGACTTGTATTGAACCACTTAAATATTTATAATTAATGCTACTGAAAAGATGCTATTAATTTTATATCTCACATGCAGTTCACTGTAAAGCTACTTGGTGAAGGTGTTGGTTCATAAAACATGAACAGTTTTAAGAAAGAAAAAAACAGACCAGTTCTGAGAACACAAATTCCTGGTAAAGTAGTAGATGTTCAGGTTGATAAATAATATTTTCCACACTGAAGATTATGGAGGTATTGATCAGTCTTCTCATATTTTTAAGCCTCGATTTCTCCTTTCCCCCCCCCTCTAACATCACCAGAAGTCATCATTTAAGGGGTCATTTCTCGAAAAAAAATTTCGGGGGGGAAACCCCCCGGACCCCCCGGGTAGGTCACTTACGGTACGTCAAGAGCCCCACCAAAAAAAAAGACCACCGGCCGCCACTGTACCTCATACAGTAATGCTTCGTTGGACACTCCTGAGACACGTGCGCAGTCTGGTCGTATGGTGGCGCTCGTGCTGTGTCGTCATTCCACTTAAGCGTTTTAACGCAGGCAGCTACTGTCTGGCTACTTACCCGCGGTTGGGAGGAGTCATTCCGTCCTGAAACTGGCGACAGACCACATGAAATCTCGAGTAATGCAATGCCAAAGAAGCTTGTCAAACTCCCGAAGAGCACTGTCTGACCTGACGGAACTTCTTCAGTTCTGCGCCTCATCATCAACATCATCTTTACTTTCCACCTGATGACACATTTCTCAGGGATTGTAACAAGGCGAGTTGTTTCCTCTTTGGCTCTCGCATCTCTCAAACTCAAAGTTTGACCTTTTTCTAAAAAGTGGAAATGAATAACACCGGGTTCAACCAAACGGAGGGAGGACTGCTCAACAAGACCGAAGAGTTATTCTGCTGCAACTTTTCCTCCGTGGTGACTGATAACGGCTTTGTGCCCGCTGCTCCGGATGAGAGGAGCCTCTTCGTCATGAGGGTGGTCCAGATAGCAGT